ATGGAGAAGATCAGTTGGACCGATTATGTGAGAAATGAAGAAGTGTTAATTAGAGTCAGTGAGCAGAGGAATATCCTACATGAAATAAGAAAACGGAAGGCTAATTGGATTGGTCATGTTTTACGCAGAAACTGCCTTCTAAAAGAAGCTATCGAAGGAAAGATAGATGGGCGGATAGAAGTGACAAGAAGACGAGGAAGAAGACGTAAGAAGATGCTGGATGACCTTGGGGACAGAAGAGGATACTGTCATTTGAAGGAGAAAGCTCTAGATCGCATTAAGTGGAGGAATTGTTTTGAAAGAGACTGTGGACTTGTCGTCTTGACAGATTACTGATGATGATGATGATGATGATGAGATCACCTTGCTGTCTGTGTGTCTATGTGCCTAATATCCCTCCCAATTTCTTCGTTTTCTGTGCGTTCTATGTCGTATTAAAGGAAAATAGGTGATTGATTTTTGCATAACTTCTTGTTAAGTAAATAGCTTCCTCGGTATTTATCACCTGTGTCATTCTCTTAAATTGAAGGACTAACTTTCATACCCATATAGAATATATGTAAATTTATGCATGTATATTCTATTGTTACTGAACTATACAATAATTTACTATACTACCTAGAATTTGCCTCTCAGAAGCGTCGTTACGTTTCATTTTCCAAATCGCAGGAAAATTTAAGATAAAAATTGATGAGTCTGATATGTAGTTAATAAAGCGTCGTTACATAAATAAAGTAACAGCACACTGTTTCGTAGAATTTGAGCGTCTCCCAGTAGTTCTTATGAAGAATTCTCTCTTTCGGGACGTAATGCCATGCAGTCGTTGAAAGTCAACTGACGCATCGGGGTTGAAGAGTAAGCCAAGAAAGAAACCAACATGAAGAACGCAGAAAAAACATAAGGCGTCTTGCTTGGCTTAATCTTCGACCCAATTGATGCAGAATTTGTATTAAATAAATTTCATGTAATTAATATTTCAAAGAAGGCATCATATGTCTTATGATCAGAATATGTCTACTGCTTTGTAACACATCTCAGTGTTATTTTATTTCGTGCAAATCATTTAGGTAGATGGGCGTAGAAATGAACAGATACATTGTAGGGGAATTATGTTAGTTGTTCCACTGTCCGGTATGACTGGTCTATATGCGCAGATTTACGCCATCTAACGGCAATGTTTATTTAACACTAGCAATGTTTTTCCGATTCTTCTGCCCTCTAGTAGAAGTTCGAGGAAAGTGGTACAGTGCAACCGGTTGTCCTACAATGCACGATGAAACCAGTGCATTTTGCAGTACATGAAAAACTTGTGTTCTTAAAATATTATACTATAAATTCTTAAAAGAAGAAGGTGTGCTGAATATTTTTGAGACCCAGAAACTGTATATTGGAAAGCGTCTTTTGTACCTGCATCCTTCCAGCTGAAGAAAGATGTAGGAAATTTGTGCATAGACACTATTTAGTTACTTACTTACTTACTTACTTACTTAGTACTTATGGAGCTGAGCCCTTCTTGAGAAGCAGCCAATTGTGCAGCCACTCAAGAATTTCCCAGCATTTTATGGAACCCGAAGGTTTATTACTGTGTTCACAAGAGTCCTCCACTGGTCCCTATCCTGAGCCAGATCAATTCAATCCATACCATCCCATCCTATCTCCCTAAGATCCATTTTAATATTGTCCACCCACCTACGCCTTGACCTTCCCAGTGGTCTCTTTCCTTCTGGCTTTGCTACCAATATCCTATATGCATTCCTCGTCTCCCCCATTCGTGCTACATGCCCTGCCCACCTCATCCTCTTTGACTTGATCATTGTAATTATACTTTGAGAGGAGTACAAGTTATGAAGCTCCTCATTATGTAGTTGTCTCCAACCTCCTGTCACTTCATCTCTCTTCGGTCCAAATATTCTCCTCAACACCCTGTTCTCAAACACCATCAGTCTATGTTCCTCCCTTAATGTCAGAGACCAAGTTTCGCACACGTACAGAACCACAGGCAAACTTATAATTTTTTTATTTTAATTTTTATGCTTTTGAACAGCAGACGAGAAGACAAAAGGTTCTGGACTGAATGGTATCAAGCATTACCCGAGTTCAATCTTCTCTTAATTTCCTCCTCAGAGACACTATTTAGTACTTGAAGTTAAACTTATTTGCAGTCTGTACAAGAGTGCAGAAACTTGAATGTAATAACAAAAGCAAAGTTATCTTTTTATGAGGGTTAAAAAGGGTGATTTTCTCGAAGTATTTGGCACAGATCCCGGATATACAATTTTAACAGATACCGCCTTGCCCTCTCCTATCAAAGCAGTTAAAGGGATTTATTTTTCACGAAAGGAAAGAGATATGGAAAAATTTGGGCCTTGTATTTGATAAAATATTTACAATGTAAATATTTGAGTCTTCTAAGTAACAGTGCTTTTGCCGCGCCATAGCACAAGCGGCTAGTCGCTGGCTTCCCACCGCGGCGGCCCGGGTTCGATCCTGGGGGTCTGGTCCAGTGGGATTTGTGGTGGACAAAGTGCCGCTGGGGCAGGTTTTCTCCGAGTACTTCGGATTTCCCTGCCAGTCTTCATTCCACCAAATTCTTCATCATCGTATTCATTCGGGGCAGGCTACAATAGGCCAATCAGTGGCCGCCGTGCCGAGTGGACCCAGTTGGACTCCACCCCCACTAAGCAAAAAAACCAGTGATTTTAATTGTTTTAAAAAGTAAATACTTATGAAAATATTAAGAAAGCAACTGCTTTTAAATTAGTATTCGATAAAGGATTGTACTCGTATTTCTAAAAGTATATATAGAAAACACCTGTAGAATATTTCAAATTGTTTATGTAAACTTAAAATATTGAATTGTATTGAGAAAAGTTAAAAGTTATGAGAAATTTAAGAATAAGCTCAATTCAAGTAAATCAGTTAAGTCAATTAATTTATAACAGCGATTGGCAGTAGCTGAAAGCCACTTACAGACAAGTATGAAAGAAATAAAGTACATTAATATATAAGATGTGAAAGAAGGAAATAAACTGCGCTAAGTATATAATACTAAAATTTAATAACATAAAATATGAAATAATAATAATAATAATAATAATAATAATATCAAGCAATCCTTGACGAACTGGACGCGTGTCTCACGAAAAATATAGATCGTTCTGAATGTGATATTTTGCAAGAATTCATTGTTTTCCGTCGCAAACATTGAGTCAGATCAGGAAAATAATTGTAGTGTTGAAGAGTGAATTGTCTTCGCTCACGATAGAAATAAATTGTGGGCTTTCGTCGTACATCATCATCATCATCATCATCATCATCATCATCATCAACATCAACAAGTTTTCTGTTCTATTCTGCCGCAACTCTCTAACAGTCTTCCTGTTAATAGTCCATGGTTTCTTATTCCAGATGGTCTGTATTTCTTTATTATGTAGGTAACTGTACTTTGGTTCTGTTTATATTCTTTGTTTTGAATGAAGGGATTTCTACAAGTACAGTAAAGGCGCGTCCATATTACTCGTGCTCGTCAGAAGCTTACTGCTGCCGGAAAATCAGGATCTGGAGCTGACGAAGTGGACGCCAAAACTGGTTTGCATACAAAGCCTTTGCATTTCTTCACAACAGATGTCAGCTCCAGATCCTGATTTTCCGGCAGCAGTAAGCTTCTGACGCACGAGCACGAGTAATGTGGACGCGCCTTAAGAGTGAGAAGAATGAAGAACTACAATTTTACTGAATCACTTGGGAACAATTTTATTATTGCTCCGCTATCCCAAGTCGTTTACATCACAATAAATAAAAGCGAAGGTTGGACCGGTGACAACGAATCAGGTACTGAGAGCCGTGGTCCCCGGAAGCATGCGGTTATGATGGGGGTGGGCACATGCATTCGTCACCAATCTGCTCCTGGATCCAATCCAAATAGTTGGCTACCTTCGTGTACACTCCGGGGTAATTGGGCCTGGCACACCCTCGACCCCAGGACACTATTCCTGTCGATACAGAAGGAAAATCTCGTGAAAAGAAATTACGTCATCTTCAACTCTGACGATTGAGAGAGCATACACGGTGTGTCTAGGACCCGCTAGGACTCATTTTTTTAAAACTTTACCCTGCAATTACATCTATTGGCGATTTATGGCGGTAAGATTCTTGAAGTTTCAGCTGTGGCTGTCTATAATTTCAAAGCGCAAGCATCCCTGCATCATGTGTTCGGACCTTGAATGTAACAGTATTGTTCTGACGCTCATCGGAAAATTGCGGTTGAACAGAGAGCCAACATCAAATTTTGTTTGAAGTTAGCCGGAGAAGCGTACGAAATGATGAAAAGTTTGTACGGTAGTGATTGTTTGAGTCGCTCGAACATTTTTCGATGGTATGCTGTATTTCGTGACGGCAGGGATGACATCGAAGAAGCTCCACGTGTATCAAACCCGAGAACAAGTCACACTGAAGAAAATGTGGAAAAAGTGACCGAAATCCTTGTATCAGACAGATATGTTTCTGCAAGACTCATTGAGGAGCTTTTGGGAATACAAAAAATTACTGTGCATCAAATTTTGACCGAGGATTTGGGCAAATGGAAGGTCTGTGCGCTGTTTGTACCGTACGCGCTGTCAGGCTATGAAAAACATGCAAGAGTGGAACACTGCAAATACATGTTACGGTCGGCCCAAAGTGATACAAAATTTACAAAATCGATTGTTACTGGTTACGAGACATGGTGTTTTCAATATAAGCCTCTCAAAAAGCGGCAGATTGCAGCGCGGTTGAGCCCAAAGGAGCCGAAACCAAAGAAAGTGCGCATGCAAAATAGTCGAGTAAAGACACTGCTAACCGTTTTCTTCGATTCCAAAGGAATCATTCCCAAGGAATTTCTGCCAGAAGGTCAAACAGTGAATTCTGATTATTATCTCGGAGTCCTCAATCGTTTGTGGGCGAGAATTCTTCGAATTCGACCTGAATATCGATAGCAAGGTTCCTGGTCGCTCCTCCTCCACAATGCCCCACCCCACAAATCGAAGATCGTGCGCGGCGATTTTTTGACCAGAAAAGGGATCACAGTCCATGATCATTCTCCGTATTCGTCAGATTTGACTCCGGCAGATTTCTGGCTGTTCCCAAAAGTGAAGTTGGCGATGAAAGGAGATGTATTGGTTCAGAAGGAGATTATTTTGAATAAAAAGAGCGAAATTTTGAAAATAATTCACGTCTTGTATGTTTAATGAGCATAGTCCTAAGAGAACCTGGACACACTATGTATGCATTGGAAACATCAGTATCTACCTACAAGACTGCAAGATTTCCAACCCAAAAAGGCCACAGTCTGAATAAACAGTACATTATTTCTCGAGTGAAATATTAAATCTGTGTGGATTATAAACGCTCTCACACCGACAGCTCGAAATTATAATATTGTGTCACTGTATTAAGATGATTTATACTGTGTAAGAATACCGTCAGTATATAAAAAGAAAATTTTAAGCAGAGTAGAAGTAATAAGTTTTCTCAGAATATTATCTTATTGGGGAATTTAGAATGGCACTGCTAACATCATCGGAAGAGTTTATCTCCTCTAAGTACAAAATCGAACGGGAACTTCGTACTTAAGTTTATTCAGTGTTTAATTTATTCACGAAAATTCATATCGAAAATGCTTCTTTTCAACCAACGAATTAATTTAACACTTACCGACTGTTTCCATAAAGCCACGTTCTGCGTCAAGATGCAAAGGTCCACCGCTGTCTCCCTGGAAAATAAAATATTTCCAATAGAAATATGTAAACGCAAATCATGACTGTGATAAACACGCTTATTCTAATAAGAAGCCCTCTTCATCTACTACTTAGACGTTAATTGACATAATACTGTACATAATAAGCTGCTGTATGTTAACATAAGTTTTTCTTCTTTGAGTGTGATATTTTTATTCATTTCTAAGCAGTTAAATTCCCTAACAATGAATAGTGTTTTAAAATTTTACAACATAATATATCATTTAGCCGGTCACGGTAGCCGAGCTGTCTAAAGCATGTACTGTCTGCTCTCGCTTGGAAACCTGGACCGTGGGTTCGAATCCCACTCAAGGCATGCATGTTTAGTTTGTGTGTGTGCGTTTTTCTGTGTTTGTGTACAGGTAGAGGCCTTGCTACGAGCTGATCACCCGCCCAAGGAGTCCTACCGAATGTGTAAGATCTAGAAAAACCGAAGTGAACGGCGAAGTTCATGGAGGTAGGCCTAAGCCCACTGGGGCTGTAGTGCCAAGGAAAATAATATATATATATATCATTTAGACAGAGAGTAAATTAGAAGAATGTACTCCATGGTGACTGTAACGAAGTGATGTAAATAAATGTGAAAGAAGGAAAGCAAGGAAGGAGTAAGAAAATAGGAACGAAGAAGGAGATGAGAAAGAAGAATAAAGGAAGAGAGAGGAGGGAAGAAAGAAGAAGAGGAAGAGGAGAACGAGAGATTAAACACGTCATTCTTTAGTTCTTGTGAAGCAAAACAGAGTGCGATATTGGCCATTATGACCAATTTGAAGTGCACATAGCAGAAATAATTTGTAAAAGAAATACATGGCACGATGTACATAATATATTTTGTTAATTAATATAACATTGTTTGATAGCTACGTCAATATAAAGCTGTCTTCTAAGTACTTGTGCGCTCTGTGGGACAATAGTTGGGCTATATCCCTCCATCTTACAAGAGACAAATGAATGAATGAACGGAATTATGAATCTTCTGTGATCTCACTGTCGAATAACAGATTTCGTACTGTATTTTCGGTCATAAAAGCTGTCCCACATGTTCAGCGATGCACGAATTAGACATAATTAAGTGATAATGCACCACTGTAATATGATCTGATTAATGAACTTAGAGAAATTGAATTAAGATTGGAGTAATGAAATTGTAATTCGTTTTAGGTAGACCGAAACTTTTGAGACAAGATTAATATTAATGAGACGAACTTTTAATTTAAAAGTCGTAGAAGCAGTCTGTACAAAAATGGTTTAGTTAAGTATTTACACCTGATAAATAACTTTCTTATTATATTAGAAGATTATTAATTTCCTGCAAATAATTACAATTTAGTGATGAACTGCTTCGCTTTTAATGCCGTAAAGCTTGACGTTCCAAAGAAAATCTAGGTCATTTAAGATCTGCTGTTGTCTTTCTGCATCGGGCCTGCTGTAGCCTTACTGCTCGGAGCAGACAGCTTAAAAACCCGAATTTCTCTTCATATTTGTAGAGAAGTGAACAAAATTTTTCGATAGAAAAACTGAAATATCTCGGGAGCTTCGTTCTCCACGCTCTGTAACTGGCCTTGTCATAGAACGGGGGAAAAAAAAAGACGAAATAATTTATATTACTTTGTGTTTCTCCTAAAGCAAGGGGATCTGTTTCTTAATTAGGTACATGTTTGCACAATGTGATCTCCCACACAGCATACCACGTTCCATTATGTTTTCTCTCTGACACTAAATATAGTTCAATAAGATAAAATGTTGAATTTGTTCCTGTACTCAATTAATTAAGCACCACGTCATGAAGACGTACGAGGGAGCAGAGTTACAGTTCCATCATTTTCTTAGTTTGGGGGGGGGGACTGAGTTCACTTGGTACTTCGGCCACTAATTGGCCTATAGTACCAGCCCCGGGTAGTAGATTATGATGAATGTGGGGTACTTGGTGGAATGAGAATTAGCAGGGGAAAGTGAAGTACTCTGAGGAAACCTGCCCCAGAGCCAATTTGTCCACCACAAATCCTAGGTAACCTAGGGCTCGAAACCGGGCCGCCGCAGTGGGAAGCCAGCGACTGACCGCCTGAACTATGGCACGGCCTCCATCTTTCTTAATCTCGGTACTATATGAAGGTGAGTGTTCAACTTTACACCTCGGCAGGTTTGCGCCCGGGAAAAGAGTCACGTTACCCATTGCATAGGAGACTGAGTGAGCTCCAGAGCCGGTCTCGACACTGTGGAGATGAGGAAAATTTCTTGCTCCTGCCATAAAGAACCCCGGTCTTCCAATCCAAAGTACGTCGCTACACCGACTGAGATATCCCGGCTTCATACTTTAATAATGTAATAATACTTCTAGTAAGTTCTGAAAATTAATATGAACTTCCAAGTAACCGACCAGAAAGGTGATTTCTATTTTTAGGCATAAAGCAATGAAGTAACGCACAAAAAATTTTATAATCCTGAAAGTTCACTTATGAAGAATGTGATTATATATGAGTGCTAAATCTCTATGTAGACCCAGTACTGATGACATACTTGCTTTGCAGACTGTGAGTTTTAATGTTTATTATTCATTATTTATTGAAAGACTTACGGAATAACCCTTAGTTTCAAGGTATCTCGAGGGTGTATGTAGGCCTGATGATGGATTAAATAATCTGTGTTTCCTTCCGGTTAATAACACTTAGCTCTCACCTGACAGGCATCCTTTTTGCCATCTGCATACCCCGCGCAGATCATGTTCTCTGTGATCCTGTTCTTGGCATAGCCAGAGTTGAAGCATTCCTCCCTGGAGATGATGGGAACAGCCACTTTGCGAAGGGAGCTGGAAGGCGGCTTCCTCTCCTCAGTGCGGCCCCAACCCGCTACGATGGCCACTCGGCCCGTGTAGTTCTTGTTTCCTGCAAAACGTTGATCTCTTAGGGGTTTCAAGCTAAACTCTGGTATGCATTTTTCATCTCCCCCATGAGTACGCATACTACATTCCCCGCCAATCCCTTACTCGTTGATAACCAGCAATATTTCTCAAGTGAAACGCTTAAGACTTGTATTCAGAAAGAGGCCGGTTCATGTTTCGTCGGGATTCTAGGTATTCTGATTGAGTATTTTGTAATTTTCTCTGTCACTCCTGGGCAAAACTTTGAAAGAGGCCACAACGGCTTCTTCACCAATCCTTCAAACTCTATCATCATCCTCTCCTGCTTTTCGACGATAAGGCACCACTTCAATTAATGTAGCTACGTTATGCACATTAATCCTCCTGTATTTCATCAAAACTGTTACGAAGAGCACAAATTATGGCGGTTTTCATCGTGCAACTTTCTCCGTCCCATTGCTCCTTCAACCTCTCTCTTTGATGCAGACGTTTTCCTCAGTTCCCCGTTCTCAGATACCGAGAGGTGGACTTTTCCAACTAGGTGCACATCTGCATATTCAGTGCCTAAGAGCTCTAGTCCCCGCACACTTCGCGTTGCAATGCCTTACCATCAGCTGGGAGACACGCCGGACGGACAGTGGTACCCAACTCCACAGGAGACTCGAGTTCCAGGACTGCAATATCATTGTTGAAGGTTAAGATGCTGAAGTTGGCATAAACTTTAGCTTTTGTCAGTTTCCTCTCAACAGCCACTGTCTCCGTCTTACTCATCATGTTGTGCTCCCCCAGAACCGCGCGGATGTCACTCACGTTGAAGCTGAAACAAATTTAGTCTAAGGTTAAAGATAAAAGTGCCGCAGTTTATCCAAGCCTCCGCCACAAGAGGAACAAAAGTATATCTCCCTTTGAACCAATTGTTATAGGCCTAGCCGGTATAGCGACTGGCTGCGGACTGGACGACCAAGGGGTCGGAGTTCCAGTCCCGGTAGGCTCAAGTATTTTGTTATTTTCACGTCGTCCAGACAGGGTCTTGGGCCACCCAGTCTCCTACCCAAAGATACCGGAGCACTTTTCCCTGGTGTAAAGCGGACAGGGATTGAAGCTGCCCACTCACCTACAACCAGTGTCGTGATCAAGAAAATGTGGATCTGTACATCCTCTCCCCCATACGCCTTCATGGTGTAGTGCTTAACTAGTTAAGCACAAGGACAACTTTACTTTTTACCTTACCTACAAGGCCTGTACTAATTTTAAATATGCCTTGATCATTTATCATTGTTTCGGTTTTCTTCCTTCCTTGTCGTTACTACAGGCCCCGTGTTATTACAGGTTACCATGGAGTAGCTTGAACTGTAAGCATAGGTGTGCAGATGGCACCACTGAGAGTCTAGAGGTCCGGAGGAAAGAACATTTGGCTTACATTGACAGTCAGTAGTCTTGTGAGGATTCTGGCTTGTCTTTCTTCTCCTGTACCCCAATTAAGCGAACAGTTACATGTAAAGTTAGAAGACGTAAATAGTGAATAAGAGAAGGAAATCGTTAATGTAACAACACGCATTTTCACAGCTCTTCTTATGTGTGTACCACAAATCGTCAAATGGTAAATATAACATTTTTAACTAAAAAAAATTGGACTCTTTAACTGAAGTTACAGAAGGATTTGGCCGTGCCATAGCTCGGGCGGTTATTCTCCGGCTTCCCACCTCGTCGGCCCGGGTTCGTGCCAAGTTTAGGTCATGTGGGGTTTGTGGTGGACAAAGTGGCAATGGGGCAGGTTTTCTCCTAGTACTTCAGTTTCCCCTGCCAATTCTTATTCCGCCGACTGCTCCGCACTCATCTATCATCCGGGGCTGGTACAATAGACCAGTTAGTGGCCAACATACCGAATGGACTCGGACTCACAGAAGAATTTGCTTGTCTCTTTTTTCGTTCGGTTGAAGAATAGTTTATGCTTTTTTTCCATTTGGCGCTACAACCCAAATTTGGGCTCTGGCCTACCTCCATGAAACTCTCCGTTTCACTTCGATTTACTAGGTCTTAGACATTCGGTAGGACTCCTTGGGCGGGTGATCAGCTCGTCGCAAAGCCTCTACCTGTATACAAATACAGAAAAACGCACATAGGCACACAAACACCAAACATCCATGTCCTGTGTGAGATTCGAACTCACGATCCCTGCTTCCGAGCGAGCGAAGACAGTAGATGCCTTAGACCGCTGAGCTACCGTGACCGGCATAACTCCGAGTAGTGTGCCGAAATACATCCGACTTTTCGCAGGGTAATTTCGCATCTATCTTCACGGTTCTAAGAATAAGCAATTCTAGGAGCCGGCCTGAAGCAGGCAGAATACAGAACCAATCTTCATGATGGTTTCTTGCTTGGCTTATTCTTCTACCACGAAAATGGAAGTGAAATGGTCCTCCGAAACGTCAGTCTACTTTCAGTGGACTGCACAGCGTTATATCCCAGAAGATAGAACTTTTCTTCAATAAACACACGCAAATATTGTAAGAATTTCTCAGATGTTGGGCACGATCTACAGGAAAGTTGTAACATATTTCCCGCCTCATGAGCACATTGCTCTAAACCTTCCGTGTATGCAATTTCTTTACTTGAAAAATGCCTGCAACATGGCACTCACCCGTCTGCACAGTGAGCTGCAGTTAGCACGTGACGTCTGGTGATGAGACTTCCTGCGCAGTAGAACTTCCCGCGCTTAATTAGTGCAACAATCCAAGGAAACTCGTTCACTTTCGTCACTTGGCCACCAACAATCCTCTGCTTCCGGTTCGGTACTCCACAAACTGAAATGTTATAAGTTGAAAATTGTATTCATCTCTTGTTCATACGAATATAGAGAAAATTGCTCTTAGATCTGACGAACACAAGGCAGCAGTCTGAGGATGTAGGAGGATACCAAGGTGTTCAAATCCACACACCGCAAGGAAAATCTGAAGTCACAAGAAAATTACATGTCATCGAATTTGGATAGAACGTTATGATTCAGTGACTAAAAGTTAAATTTTCAGATTATATTTTCTGTAGATACTTTTGTCGACTTCTTGCATCTTGCTATAAAAATGTAAGACTTTTTAAATTTATTCGAACAATTTTGGTACTGTCCACATCCTAATACCATTTTTCTTCAAGATAAATTTTGATATTAACCTACCATCTATGCGTAGGTCTCCAAAATAATCTCCCTTTAACTTTTCCGACTAAATTGTTGTATGCCATTCTAATTACTACCATGTGTCCTATATGTCATCCCAGGGGAAGGAAGGTGGGGGTAGCGAGAACAGGATACCGAGGAAAATGTTTGCATGTGGAAGAGAGGTAGTAGTAACAGTCACAAGAAAATGAAGACATTTATGATTTGCGATCTTCACAAAACATAACTAGGGCGATCAAAGCGAGGAGGGTGAGACTGATGGAACAGGCGAGAAATGCATAAGAAACTGAAGTGGGAGGAATTAGAGGGATGAGATTGCGTTGAAGATGATGTCACCGATTGGAGAATAATATTAAAACATATTGGGTTTGAGGTTCCCACGGCTGTGGCTATGAAGATTTGATGGATACAGAGCAGGTCTGAACGACGTGGAGAAGATTTTTGAGCATGCCGGGTCTCGAACTCCGACCCCTCGTTCGTGCAACAAGTAGCTAGTTGCTATACCGTCTACGCTATCCTGGTTCCTATCAAGTTGTTTGGAAGGTAAAAAATTTGAACAGCTAGCAGAAAGACAAATTTCTTCATTAGTTGTTATACGTTTATTCTTGTGGAACGCAAGATACACAGTCTTTCTGTGCCACCGTCCACCCTTCAATCCGCTCAAGGAATTGCGTCAATACATTCGAAAAAATGAATACTTACCGCAGCCGCAAGAATTGTCTCCACTGTTCTCGGTGCTGACTTCTGCAATATCTGTAGTGACGTCTTTGTTGGTGTCATTGTAGTGTAGTTGCACTGTGGAATTGGGTCGATTGGGTAGCGGTGGAACTTCAGCAGAGCCATCCTAAGTAGAATTATGCCCATTAGTTTAAATTACGCTTATCCTAGTTCGATCATCTAAATTGAGAAACAAGGAAATGATGAATACTTGCACGGAAGAGAATGCCACGTGACTTTGACTACCATTTTATGGATCCGTTCTTTGTCTGAGCAATCGTACCATGGGTTTAAAGAAGTTGCAATTTATTGAAATTAATTCTGATCTGAAATTGGTCAGTGTGTCTAATTTGACAAAGGATTAAAAATTACTGTAGTTACATTCTTGAAAGAAGGATCTTTTATCTACTGTATATTAACGAAACAGAAAAACTGTAAAAAAGCCAAAACGTTTTACAGATGTACTCAAAGAGTACTGAGTATGTTGTGTTAGTTCTCCTTTCTTTAATTACCTAGAAAACGTAAGATTTGTGTGAAAAGTTATTGGCATAAAATGTATATTTCGTTTTCCTCTACAACATTCCCTTCGACATATATTTTGGCATGTAAACCGACTGCTAGGCAACTACCACGAAATAAGCGACTATACAAGAACCGTTGTTGAGCAACTGCTGCGCAAACAAGCATGCTTCCACGGCAAAAATTACACTGAAATTGATGAATGTGTTTACTGTGCGATTCGTGTCGAGATGTTATAAGCAGGACTGAAGCCAGGAATGACTATGCTGGCGAAGGCCAGCAATTTAACCGACCGACCAAGTCAGTCAATGGAGTCAGTCAGTTTAGTGAGTGAAGTTAGTTGATTGGTGAGTTAGTGAGTTAGTTAGAGGACTGCTGCCGTTCAGCCGTTGTGAGCTGTTACTGTTAGAAGCTAGTAGCTGAAGCCGGCGAATATTCGGGAACATAGAGGAAGGAGATCGCCCGCTGTTGGAAGCCTCTACCAAGCAACGGTTAGTAAAACGTGACTGTGGACACTAGTGTTTGTGTGTGTGTGTCTGTAACAGTGAATTTTAAATCGTAGTCACGGATTGTGTGTTAAAGAGTTCAATGAATCCTATTATCTATCCAAAACCAGTCTATAATCACTATATATCACGTGATTATATGTAGCAAATTAGATTGAAGATGAGTACAGACATGTGTGTACCCGTAATATTCCACGCAAACTGTCCTTTAATATTTTCTGATTTTAGCTGAAATTGGAGTATGACAAAAGTTGATTTAAATCCTCTAATATCAGATACCTAGTAAATCCGTTTAGGGGTTCTGGGTTTGTTAGATACTAACAGATAAACATCAGAGCCAGAAGGCATTTTTTTTTTTAATTTTCATATCAAAATCATCAACCACACGTACCTGAGAGAGACCTATTTGTTAGGCATAACTGCAACACTTCATTCGTTTCTGAATATCTGAGAAAATTTCAAAACAGATGGTCTCAGTACTTTAAAAATTTGTTGCCCTGTGTCTATTGAAGCACTTGTGTCCAATTTCGCGTTTTCGCTGGCTACGAATTTTTGCTGTTATTGAGGAAGCGCATGTGAATTATCGTGGTTTTAACGATGCTCCCTTGGGATCAAGTAAGATTTTCTGTATTACATCATCTATATAATATATATAATAATATATATATAATATAATATAATATTATTACATTCTGTGAACAACTTAATATTATTTACGTTTGCAGATACAAGAGCAATTACTGACCCCGCTTAGCAGGTTTGATGTTCATATAATACAATAATTTGTGAAATCCGGTGACGAATTTATAGCAAGGATAACTGTAAGCTTACTTTATAACATAACACAAATAACAACATGTGTATGAATAGTAACGACAGATTCTGCTAAGAACTAATCGCCAGCTGTGTTTTGATACATGGACCATACAGAAAACAACGCCTCCACTAATTCTTAGTTGCCGCGGGAACGTCTTTATAGAGTTGTAACCAGCAATAAAATGGGATATATCGAAACCCTCAAAGTCTCCTTTGATAAGATACGGACCTCATGGAAAATGACGCGTTCAACAATCCTTCTATTGCTACCAATATTTCTTGCCTCGCGAACTTGTTCATCGAGCTGTTGCCTAGCAACGATAGAAGTGATACACATACAGAGACAGACTGATGGTAGTGATTTATGATCTACGTCGTTGAGATGGGCTCAGGTGCCCAAGTTTCATAAAGATTAGTTCAGATATTCAGCAGTTGATACGGTGTGATTCACATACAACACGGCTATCTCATCAGCCTCCTTTTATTTTTTCAAAATAAGGAAAGTAGGCTAAAAATGTCAGTGTTTAAAAATATTGAAACAGAAACTTTCTTTCTCATCCTCCTGATATCGAGCCTAGCGGAGAGCAAAGGGCCTACGGAACACACACTCGCGAGCAGCTGTCAAAGGGTTGTACTCCAGCTTGGAGTTAGTAGGAATCTAACAACTCACCGGAAGAAAGCAGCAAGTTACTAGGTGTTACATAAAATGCAGGATCTTTTTACTTCTTCCGGAATACACGCCGTTACATCCAAGAAAATACGAGGGTTATTAGGAAAGTAACTTCCGTTTATTTTAGGCAACTAATGTAGGAGCGAGGGAGAGCTCGCGCATGCGAGTTAGCATCATATGACCCGTTGTCTCGTAAACATCACATAATTGGTCACCTAGTATTTGTATTTTTCTCTACAGATGTATGTTGCGATTGATAATCCCGACAAATGCGAAATTCGCACTGTTATCCGCTTTCTCCACGCTAAAAACATGCGTTCTGCGGAAGTTCGTTGTGAATTATGTGTGATTTATGGTCAAAATTTAATGAGTGAAGGGACTGTAAGGCAATGATGAAGAATGTTCAAAGATGGGCGGGCGAACAAATGTTCACGATGAAGAGCGAAGTGGTTGGCCGGTTATCTGTAGTGAGTGTTCAATGTAGTGAGCAAAAATTTTATGAAAGACGACGCTTCACAATTTCAGAACTTTCGTGTGAATTTCCGTATATTCCACATACTGTTCTCTAAGGGATTATCACAGTTAGGCTATTCTATCACCAGTTTTGCGCAAGATGGAATCTGAAAATGCTCACGGGTGGGAACAGAACGCAGAGAATTGCTTCGGTTTTGATTTTTAGAACGATACGTAAAAAATGGCTATGAATTTTCAATCTGATCGTATGAGTAAGAGGCGATGAAACCTGGGTTTCATATGTGAATGTTTCGATCGAAAAGCATTAAAAGTAGTGGATACAAACACATTCAACAAAAAAGCCGAAGAAGTTTAACAAACTCTATCTACCTGTCAGAAAACTGACAGATATAAAAATCATTATTTTCGTTTGGTGATGTGTTCTTATGAAAGAATTGTTCCATAAAAATTTATAAAGTTGATAATGCTCGTATGTGCCATATACTCACAGGTCTGATCATAAAGGAGAGTGTATTTTTGTCCTTGTATTTCGTTAAATATCCTCCTGCAATATATCGATAAACGGTTTCAGATTTAAGTTGGCATTTAAGACGCATTTTAAAACACAAGGTTCGCTGAGCTTTTTTATTTAAAAAAAAAGTGTTGTGTTCGGCTTGAACTTGTTGTAGAAGTTTTACCGGATCAATGTGAACCAAGGCTGATTTCACGCAATGAAGTATGGTGTAGGCCATAAGAATAAAATTAGTCGAAATACAATTATTAATATCGGAGAAGAAATATGGGGTCTCTGGATAGGCAGACACTCCCAACCGTTTTCTGCATTTCATGCAAATACAAAATTGTATTATATTATTCCTAAAATTTATAATCGCTCTATTTTGTGAATATATTGCATAAATATTCCTGTCAATACTAAGTATTAGATATTTTCTTAGACTGTAAGTTTGGAATCAAGTAAAGTGTTGATATTTTAATAAATACAGAATAATTCTTTTATCTTTTAAAGAGAGGCAAAACAATCTGAGGAAAATCCTGCTCCAATTGTGCTCTGTGATAATGTGGCCACTACACAAATATTTAAATGCAAACATGACGAAGATGACGTTGTGTTTAACTTACCGTCTGAGGTAATGCATATGTGCCATAGGTTAAAACGGACAAAATGATAACCAACACACACGCAGCAACTTGATGACACAACATTTTGTTTTGAAAAAAAAATAGGTTTAATTTTAACACGGCACACTGAGAAATTTGTGAACGACGTTGCAATTCTCGTACCACCAGACTCACTGTTACGTGTGTGACTTATGTGTGTGAACTATATATACAATTTGGAGATTCTGTAGCAGTGGCGTATCTGTTCTGGTATATGAGGGGAAGAGGGGACCTAATATTTTACCTTGACTGTTTTTAATCAATAGAACTATTACGCCGCATGTGGAACTATATTTTCAGCCTTCCCCACTACTACTAGTGCTTTTGTTTAATATTCAATACAAAAGTGAGATTGTAGTTGTTATATCCACTGACCTCGACCTCACTCCATGTCCCAATGTTCTTCTCTGTGACGAATATTATTCATGGTGTGGGAACTATATTCATAGTCTACATAATTAATATCAAGATGCAAGTCCACGTGTTCTACATAGCATTTACAAGTGTGTCAAGATTAGGTCATTGTCATGCAGGCATAAAACAGTATAAATGAATTGTTTTATGCAAGGAAAAACGATATATCTAACACATCTGCCGTCGCCTTGATAGCAGAATATGAATCGATTTATATTCAATTCTGGTTGAGTCTGGATGACTGCTGAATTTTGTACTCTGTAATTGAGATAATTCTGTTAAGATTATCAAATTTTCTTAAAGATATGGAATCATATTTGAACGTCTAAAATAAATATTTTTCCTCTCTAAATTATTCTGCAGTCCTGCTGTATAAATGCGTAATATTTTAATTATGCACTAGGTTAAATTAAATGTAATTGGACGGAAATTTATAATTCTTCCTCTACATAAAGTCCAGGCTGAAAGGAAACATTTTAATTCATTCGACGTACAAGCGCGTGAATGAGTCGGTATAGCTCATGTGGTATAGTGACTAGATTACGGGCTGGCCTATCGGGGTATGATCATTAATATGCGGTATGGTCAGAAACCTTTCTCTTTTCATTACTCTCAGAGAGCTTCTGGGTCTAACTCACGGAGTTTCCACTGGAGTTAAAGCGGATGGTGCCTGAAGATAACCACTTGCCTACATATATTGCAGAGATTAAGAATGAGTGGAATTGTACTCCTGCTCCCACATACATTTACATGACATGATGTTAAATGAAGCACAAATATAATTTTAAATTTTACCTTGAGTAGGAAACATAAAATTGGCCGTAATAATATTTCATTGAAACACTAAATTCGCAGTGTTAATAAAACCCATATACTGACCGAGTATGTAGTTTCACCCTCTCGACTTTCTCATGTGCTATGTCCCAGAAATTTCTTTTCCTTCGAAATTTTTTTTTACTGTTTTTAAATTCATTTTTAATTGCAGTGTTCTCTTCATAACGATACATGTGCGACGTAAGAAAGCAATAAAGGGCCGCATTATTAATAATATTTGGACTTTTCGAAGGACTTTATTTTTCACTCTTTTATGATGCATACTTTCTTTAACAGTATCTTATCACGAGATGCATCTTAAAATACCAGCCATTATTTCGCTTGTGTTCAGAATATTACTAGTGCCCTTTATACATGAAATCCCTCATTCGTGTGTTCTCCAGTTACATCAGTCCTAACACGGGAAGAAGTATGGTGACATGTCAATGAGAAATACGAAAAACAGACTAGAAGCAGGTGCATTCCATCTTCATAGCACGTGGTTTGAATTAGTAAGCGAGAAACTGACATTTATATATTTGCCTTACGAACATTAATTAGGGTCGTTATGATTTCAGGATTTTAGGCACTTTCCCTGGCCTCAAATGGAGCAGATTAAGATAGTGAAAACGCTTTCCACTTGCATCTGAGGTACCGGGTTGAAAATCCGACGGAAGAAGTGAAGAAAGTTCCCCGAAAGACCATGTTATTGTCATTATATATATTTGCCTACGCATCATGCTTATTTATATTCGTATCTGTGGACGCTTTCTATTACTATAAAAGAACTCCGTGGCCTGTAGTCCGCAAGCGAATTATACCGACCGAAAGACCGCCGCTTGTCGGCGAAGTTAGTGCCAACTGTGGCTGATAGAGGGTGTCACGTGGCCAACGCAACGGTTCCCCACTGCCGTTAATCTCGGTTTCCTAGACCGGAGCCGCTATTTCCTTGAAATAACTCCTCACTTATCATCACAAGGCTGATTGGACCCCGTTCCAAACCAACAATTTCTCAGAAAATCTGGTAGCGCTGGGAATCGAACCCGGGGCCTCTGGTTCTGTAGCCAGGGACTCTGACCACTAGACTACAGAGGGGATCTTCTAATACTATATATTCAGTTAAAACAAAATTGCTAAATAACAAATTGAGTAGATACTATAGGGTTCTGACGATGGTGATACACACAGAGATACAGGGTTTTCGGACTTTGTCCATCGTCCAGATTCTAAATAACTAAGAAAAAACACAACGTTTCGGAAACTGGATCTGTTTCCGTCCTACCTACACCCAACAAAAACGTTGTGCTTTTTCTTAGTTATTTAGAATCTGGACGATGGACAAAGTCCGAAAACCCAGTATCTCTGTGAACAAAATGAGTGACTGACCTCAATATGTGTAGCATCTTACACCAAAGTGTATGTAATGTTATTCTGACTGAGAGGTGTCTCTTCGACCTCTGCTTCTTCTTCACATGATCTGACCAATTTCGGCAGTTCTTGGGTTCAAACCTTGTTCCGCAGACCGGTTACTGATTTGGATTCTGGCAACTTTCCTTCACAATTGCCACAGTAGTAAGTCAAATTGTGCCAGATTCAATTCCTTCAACATTCGAGTTGATTATTGACAAATATTTCTATAATTCGATGCTGTTCAACCATATAAATTGAAAGTTTCCACAAATAATCAAAGGAGGCAAGACTTGATCTATTATTATTATGATTATTTTCCTTTTTTATGTAGAGTACGTCTTTGTTTTCCTAATAGTATTATAATGGCTGGTTATTTTAACATTGTGAAAGGATTTCTTGTGGAGCTAAAACTGTGCTTTTCTGGTGAAGTAGGCGGACTCTCATTTTTCATTCTGTTGACAGGGAATGGAAAAGAGACGTGACCAAGTAAGACAGAGTGGTGACAGGAAATCAATCTTCGGCAGGCACTTGCCCGCAATACGTAAAAAGGAAGTGCTTTTAATTCTCTTCGGGGACTATAAACCTAGCTGAAAATTCAACATGATCTCTCAGTCTGAGCATATCAGAGGTACAAGAGATGCTCAACATCTGGAACTGTACACCCAGTAGCGTACATAGAATTACAACTAAGACTCCGAGATCACAGTGAAGCGTGTAACATTACCTTGTTTACATAAAGCTGGTGTCTGAACGTTAGAGAATATTAGTGTTTCAGCGTACAGAGACCAAGACCAGAAGCATCCTGGGACGCGGCATTGAAACTAAGAAGAGACAACAAATTATAAGAGAAAGCCATGGATTTACTTTTCATTCACTTTGGTTATATGTCAAAATTTTAACTAATTCAGAAGTAAAACAGATAATATTTTATATAGTTGGTGGAAGCTCTGCATATGATTATGATAATTCTAGGGTCACTACATACTCGTTACGGCCCTGGTGATTTTTCACATTTACAATCTTCTTGCGTAATCATGAAATCTGGCTAAATGCTCACTAGGGTCTTACCGCCATCTGTGAGCCGATTGTCTAGATAATGTGGGACCCTCAACGTCTCACAAGCCTATGGGCCTTCACGGCCTGTTACAAGGATAGCTTTTACTGTTCTTACAGTACTTGAAAAAAATCCATGTCAGTCGTTCTGTTACTTTCACGTGTACCATGCGTGACTAGAGATATGCAGCGCAGACCTTGATTCTTAATACCGTGACTTTGCCACCACGTGCAGGCCTAAGATGAATGGACAACTTCCACGTGAACATCATGTTCACATGCAAACTTTACAAAGAAGGCCTACAGCACGCAACGTATTTAGACTACGGGTTACAGAATATGCAGGAATATTGCACAGACTTATTCTATGTCTGCTTCATGCTGGTTTTTTTTAGTTCCTCTGAAATCCTGAAGATGGAGGCGAGAAATTAAACAGAAACGTTGGTGATGTGATGTTCTCAAGAAAGTATCAAGGTTCCGGTCTTCTGAGATATGAAGCCGTATATCATGGTACGCGGTTACCAAACTACACGGTGCATTATTCTAGAGAACCCTAATCTTGGTAAAATTGGTGTGTTACATTGGGCCAATATCATGTTTCCGTTTTCTAATAAGGAAGCCTCAGAACTGATTATGTATTTCGTAGTACTACAGTATGTGCCTTCAGCTCTGGCTGTTTCGAGCTTGCCTTTACCTCACACCAAATCTTTGGAGTTAATTAAAGAACTTGAGTTGCTTAATTAACCTGCATTGGAAAATGTTTAATTTAATGTTAATTTGTTGACCTGAGCTTGATCTCTGGACTCGGAAGCGTTGGTGACGAGGTTGCACTTCGCTACCGTCCGGCGACGAACGTCACCATTTTAGTTATTTGTTTTCAGTATTTTGTGTAATGATTCTTGGATACGAGGTCTGAAGTTAAAGTAGAATAAACCAAGACTTTTTTCCGAGAGGCGGCAGCACTAATGAGGCCGCTTATTTTAGAATATATCTCATAGCTAGGCCAAATCGGACACAAATATACTAATGTAAGAGCAGCTGTGTGTTACGTTCTCATACTCCTTGGTTTCTCATCCTACACTTTCTACGAATATCTTTCACTTAGTATTATAGGTCTCTGTCTAATTATGAAGTAGTTCCTACTTGGTGCCTTACTGGCCAGCTCCTACCCTTGTGGTGTTGTCCACCTGTTGGAGGATGTTCGGACGTGAGTGACAGAAAACTGAAGGAAATTCCATAAGGAGGGACTTCATATTTTAGTAGTGTCTATGTACACTGCAACTTTATTATTTTTCAGTGTGTGCTATAATAGGCATACAACTAATTGTACTTCGTGGAATTAATGTTGTATATACTAACGAGGTACTTAATTTATATCTCTTCATGAAGTATCATTAGAGAGTCAAATCAATTGTGATGAGACGGCTGGAGCATATAGGATATGGGAGTAATGTGAAAAGCCTTCAAGTTTTAATTAGGAAATCATAAGTGGAGACCGTTTGGCAAAACTAGGTGTACGTTGGAGAATAGCATTAAAGAAATAGAATGTGGCGTTGTGGATCCGACTCATGTGTCCCAGGATGGTGCCAAGTGACTCGGGCCGGAGCATGAATTTGACCATTGCCGAGATTAATAATACTTGTAACTTTCTCCGCTGACTCACACGGCTTCATAGCTAGATGCTTAAATAAGCACAGGGACAGTATTTTCTTACATGTATACATACTCACATGTACGAAGTATGTTATGTGCAAAGTTTGTCCATACATATACAAAATTTTGTAATAATGTCGTGATGTGGAGTGCTGTGATACCTTTGTTGAAATATATTATATTATACAGCATCGGAAAAAATATGAGGAAAATAGAGTACACCGTCTGAAAGTGAAAGTGTCGTGAAATTCAGAAGCTGTAAAGAACCCAGTAGCATATTAATCCCTTGCACCGTGTTTAACAAGTAAATATGAACTCCCAGATTCACAAAAATTGTATCATCCAGTAACATTTCGGATATGGGTTTAAACATTAATTTATGCTTTAAACTCAACCTCACCTACGGGGTTTTACATTCAGTATTATTGCGTGTATTCTGTGAATTTGTATGACAGAGTATGGGCGTCTTTTGACATTATCGTGATCTATGATATGCCACCCACATGGTGATTCCTTTCCCTTGACCCACATACTGTGGTGACCCTAACACAAGGATAACGGCCATTATATATCACAGTTCCTCTATTCTATATAAATATGCATACAATGGCTTTCGGATGAAAGTGAACGTGGCAACAACAACAACAACAACAACAACAAAACGACTCGTGCCGCAGTGGTCTTCAAAAATGATTTGCATCTGGAAAACTACTCTCCTTCTATTGCTAATTGCTACATTAGCTGACTACGTCGAGCTGCAGGTACGTTTATGTGTTCTGATACAAAAGAACTGACAAAACGTATGTTATATACGATAATTCGTGTGTAAGTTACGCTTAAGCAGAGCAAAACCAGTGAATATGAAATGTTTTAAAATGATATCATTACCTGCTGTGTTCTACAGGAAGAAACACGAAGAAATTAATTATTTAATTAAATTATAAGGATCACGTTTAATGGAATCGTAAATTTACAGAAAAATTTGAGGATAAAACGGTATTCTATCGTAATAAATTGTACCTTATATATAAGGCGAATTTAATTCCTTTGCATATGTTGATTTGGACACTATACATTTTTCGAGCTGTGTTGAATTTTACCACATGATTCGCCAGTTCTATCGCACTCTTAAATTGGTGTTACATAATTTATGGAAAGCAAGATGCCCTGTGAAGTAACTCTTATGCGGAGAAATGCGCTCGGAGGTTTCATCTAAACATAAATAAATTTCCATGGGATTTCTATATTTTACTTTCTTCTTTCGTCCATTAGCTATCTTCCTTCGAACCGTATAAAGAGCTTAAATAGCTGATACGTAACTGTCTAAACCAAATAATCAGTCAAATATTCTTAGTTTTGGTATAGCTTTCGTTGTTTAGCCTAACCTATTGGTAACATAAAATGCAAAGCTTCTCCTGCAACGAGACGCGGAACCGAAATGGAAAACTGGTCTTCAGCTTGTTAATGAACGCAGTAAGCTATCTCTGCGCTTAGTAAATGATGCAATTCTAACTAGTACTACATCCCTAGAACAGCTGCAATGCCGTTATGTCACATACTAAAACATAATCATTGATAATTTCATATATAATGGTATGTTATGAAAGTTGTATTTTGTACCAGCAGTGGCTGAGGAATGTGTCAGCTGTAGATCTTTGCTGCTAGTGGTGTTGAATTTTGGGATTCTGTATAAAATGGCTTTCATTTTCATTTGCTGAAAGTACGTAGTGCGAGAAAAATGAATCGTAGTGTGCCTCAGAGTATGTCCAACATTTGCTCGGATGGCAAAGTCATCATTCAATATGTAGTACTTTGTCTTCTACTGTTATTCGATCTGTGCGGCAGTGGTTGTCACTATCATAGTTATGTTTCGCAATGAAAAAGTAAAACAAAAGAAAAAATGTTGAAAAATTTCTCAAACCAAACATAAATTTAAATTCCAATTTAATTTTCTAGTTCGCTTTATCCTTAAGATGTATATGTTTGGACATTTCACATATTAAGGTTTTGAATGACTAGTATCGTCATCAATGATCAAGTGGACGTGCGGTCTGAGGCATGAACTGTCCTTGTCCGCTCCAACACTGGGGTCGTGGATTTGAATCCCACTCGAGGCATAGATGCCTGTGTGTTTTTATTCTATGTTTGTGCCATTCTGTACTTAAGTAGCGGCCTTGCGACAGACTGTGTATAGGATTAAGAAGCTGAAAAAGCTGCAAGGTCCAAAGGGCTGCAAAGAGGGAGAGAGTATAATCATAATATTCACCATAATATTATTCAACGTAATATTCAGTATGTAAAAAGTTCTGCCGGTTTAGCCGTCATTTGAATGTGGACGTTCGCAAAGAGGATACACTCGCCTTATCTGGTATACGTGACATCAAATTGTGATTTGGTTTACTTTAGCCAACAGGTGAAGTGTCTACAGACCAGGAGAATGCAGAGCGTCTGTCGTATCTGGAGTGGTTGCTGAGCATCATAAGTCCGGAAGGCAGCAAGCCAGAGGAGCCAGAGGAGCCGCCGGTAGATCCTTCCAAATGCGAGCCGTGTAGTGAGTACCCGCGCCGCCTTCCGTGTTCCATGGCGGAGTTCCGCCATTTCATACTGGACGGCACACAGTTATGCACGTAGTTGAAATTCGTAAGCAAACTTTATGGAATATTAAGATCGTGTGAAAAGGAAAAGCTGAAGAACTCACGTCTCTTTCATGACGAAGAGAATGTTACTTTGTAGCATGCACCCGTTTTAGTAAGTCTCTAATTATAATCCAACTTACTTGATAAAAGTAAGTCAGTGTGAGCACAAGAAATGTGCTCAAGAGGCACTGCTCACGTCAAATGAAGTATTTTTTAATTCATTACAGAACTTTTTAAATTTTAGAATATAGTATTTGCATTATTCACGACTCGGATCAAAATAAATAGGAGTCTGTTCCATTTTGTGACAAGTTACTTTTGCGTCTCTCTTTCCTCACCGAATTAGCACAGTTTTTTACTTACAATGCTTATACTTTTCTTACCTTTTTTTAACCTCCACAACAATGTGAATCACTAATATAGGCTGCCATAGTGGCTCGAGTCATAGATTAATGTGTAAAGGGTGAAGTTAAAAGGCATAGCTGTCGCTGTAACAGGCCGTGCAGGCCCATAGGGTTGTGAGAATTTAAGGCTACCACATTTTCTAGACTATCGGCTCACAGATGGCGGTAAGGTTGTCAGCCTTACGGGCCCGCCGCTCTTTACCCCCCAGGAATATTCCTGCTACTCATTTCTGTTAGAGGCTGAGTCGACCCCAGGGCCATAGTGCGGCTGGAAGGGTTAGGTGAAATGAAAAATTGTTTTTTCAATTTTGAACGCTAAGTAGAAGAAAGAAGAACAACCAGCCTATTGACAACTATTACCCTGAATATAGGAACATATCAGTCACAAGAAATTCTGTGCCATAATTTGTTGTTCGAAATTGTAAATTAGTCATTGTTCTACAGAATGTGGCTTGGTGAATAAGAAAGTACGTATTGTTGGAGGTCACGAGACGCAAGTGAACCAGTATCCGTGGATGGCCCAGTTGCTGTACAACAACCGCTTCTACTGTGGCGGATCGCTCATCAACTCTAAGTATCTTCTGACTGCTTCGCATTGTGTCAAAGGGTACGCTGGAATGTTTCTAGCCAATATCCTAGGCTATGTCCAAGCCGCCCCATCGCCAGCAAAATTCAGTACAGGAGGGAAATCTTTCCCTGACAGTATCATGCGTCACGGGTTAAACAACTTTATTTTAGCCAGTTAATTCCCTTCTTGTCTGAAAGTGATTTAATGCTCAGGATTTTGTTTGCCAATTTATATATATATTTTGCAACCTTAAGGAAACGTTTATAATTTTCACACCTTTTGAGCAGACCGCCTCCGTGGTCTAGTGATCAGAGTCACTGGCTACAGATCCAGAGGTCCGGGTTCAATTCCCAGTGCTGCTAGATTTTCTGAGAAGTAGTGGGTCTGGAACGGGGTCCACTCAGCCTCGTGAGGATAATTGAGGAGCTGTTTCAAGGAAATAGCGGATCCGGTCTAGAAAACCTTCATTAACGGTCGTGGGGATCCGTTGCGCTGACCAAACGACATCCTCTAACAGCAAAATGTTGTCAGTAACTTCGCTAACAAGCGGCGATCGCTCGGGCGGTATAGTTCGCTTGCGGAATACAGACCACGGAGTTTGTTGTCTCTTGTTTTATTAATTAGTATACTTTTTCTTCCTCAATAACTGTTACAATAGTTCCCTGACGAAGAATGGAGTATCACAAAACATTAGACGCTACCACTGTAGCCCTCTGGCTTACGGCGCTTTGAGGTCTCGCAGATGGCAACAAACGTTTTAGAGGGATTGGTGGCCGTTTCTCCATGAAGATGGAAGTAGCAGGTTCATACGAAACAGTTTTGTATCACAGTGTACAGAGGCTTACGGCCAGTCACGGTAGCCGAGTGGTCTAAGGAATGTACTTTTTTTCAATCGCTCGGAAGCTGTGATCGTGTGTTCGAATCCCACACAAGGCATGGATGTTTGGTATGTGTATGCGTTTATTCTGTGTTTGTGTTGTCCTGTGTTTAGGTAGAGACCTTGCGGCGGGCTAATCACCCGTTCAAGGAGTCCTACCGTCAGTAAAATGATCATGAAACTGAGAGATCAGCCCTATGCTCCAAAATGGGAACAACAGCAGAGAGTAGAAACATAGGTTTACGAGGTGATGAATCATTTCTTTGCACAAAAATCTGGAAGCAAACCGAAGGCACAGTTCTCAAGATGATGCAGAGCAGTGAACAGTAGAAATTTCAAATGTATTTCAAGCTGAGTATCCCGAAACTGAGACAGCTGTGATCATGTGTACGTGTTTAACTCTGTGTTGCGCAGGTTTAACCGAGAGAAAATTACAGTGCGACTCCTGGACCATACCCGTGGTGCTAATAACGAGGCGGATATCATAGAGAGGAGGGTGCAACGCATTGTGACACATAGTCGCTATGATGGCGCCACTTTCAACAACGACATTGCCCTGCTTAGGTTCGATCGCGAGATAGCGATTGAGGGCCTCCTACGGCCAGTCTGTCTCCCCGAACTAGGTACGTCATCACTGTTATTTTATAAGAATTTTATAACGCTATTGCTTATATTGCTAGTCAGGCCGCCCCATAGCTCAAGCGGTTAGTCTCTGGCTTCCCACCGCGGCGGCCCGGGTTCGATCCCGGGTCTGATCAAGTGGGATTTGTGGTGGACAAAGTGGCGCTGGGGCAGAGTACTTCGGTTTTCCCTGCCAATATTCATTCCACCAATTGCTCCACAATCACCCTCACCTATCATCTGGGGCTGGTACAATAGGCCAGAAGTGGCCGCAGTATAAGGGACTTAGTCCCACTCCACTAGCATTAAAAAAAATTATGTTGCCGGTCACGGTAGCCAAGCTGTCTAAGGAATGTACCGTTTTCGTTCGGTCGGAAACCGGGATAGTGGTTTCGAATACCACACAAGGCATGGAAGTTTAATATGTGTATGTGTTTATTCTGTGTTTGTGTTGCCCTGTGATTAGCTAGAGGCCTTATGACCAGCGGATCACCCCTCCAATGGGTCCTACCGTCTGTAAAAAAAAGCTCAACAAAAAAGAGAAATCAGCCCTATGCCTCAAAGTGGGAGCGAAGAAAAAATTAACAAACTCCGTGGTTTTAGTCCGCAAGCTAACTATACCAACAGAGCGACCGCCGCTTGTCGGCGAAGTTAGTGTGCCTCTGTGGTCTAGTGGTCAGAGTTCCTGGCTACAGGTCCAGAGGTACGGGTTCGATTCCCTGCGCTACCAGATTTTCTGAGAACTAATGGATTTGTAACGGGGTCCACTCAGCCTCGTGAGGATAATTGAGGAGCTATTTCAAGGTAATAGCGGCTCCGGTCTAGAAAACCGAAAATAACGGCCGTCAGGATTCGTTACTCTGACCACGCGACACTCTTTATCCTCTAAGGTGGGAGCGAAAAGGAAGAAAAAATTGCTTATGTCCTGATCTATATCGAGTAATTTTAACGGACGAAGGAAATTATAGTGTTGTACCTAGTACTGTAAAGAACAAAACATCCTAAATGTAACTTCACGTATTGTTTTGTATGGGTTAAAAACATGGCCCTTAACTCGGGATTACTGTGTCTTTGGACTTTTCGCATCATCCGGTATTCTAAAGATCACAACGTTTCGGAAACGGGATCTGTTTCTACCCGCATGTAGAAGTATGAGAGACACCTACTATGTTGGTTCCGTTAGAAAGAGCTAACCTCAGTCACCGGAGGTCAAGTGATTGAGGTTAGTTCTCTCTAACGGATCGAAAAGCGTAGGGGTCTCCACATCCCTCACCTGAGGACGGAAAGAGATGCAGTTTCCGAAATGCTGTGTTCTTTAGAATATTGGAAGATGGACAAAGTAAAAAAATAATAATCTTTAGTGCTATACACAATTGTTAGAACCCTTGAGACTCTGCATGGTCCCTCGCATTGAGGGACTAACGTAGATCGGGAAAATATTTGGACCTGAGTGACAGGAATTACTGGGATATTGGGTAACACTCCATAAAGAGAGGATTATAATTTGTATCAGGGTGCTCAAATCAAGGAAAATGAGATGGGTAGGTTATGCAGCACGCATGGAAAACACAAATAATGGTAATTTCACACTTCTTGTTACCCTTCGCAGTCTTCAAATAAGCACAGCAAATTCCTATACTTTCCAGTTGGCTATATTTTAATGTACTCATTGTTTGTTAACGGCCTCTGTGACAGGGACTCCGTAATAAGTCCGTGCTGGACAGCTCCTTCTCGGCGGCTGCATAATTTCTACGTTTGAGTGCCATTTCACATTGCTCGCTCCTTAAGCCTACAGACTTACCGCCAATTCTTCCGTTCCGACGGGCCCTCCATCTTAAGTTGATGACCACCCTAGTGAATGGTGTCAGGAAGCCGCGCTGGTTCCGATAATTGTCCTTCGCTTTGGACGTCTTCCGGCCTTCATTCCTTACAAAACCAGCATCGCGCTACTGTTCTGCAATATCTCTCTCCTTATGACGTTTCGGCCTGCCCAGAATAGTCCTTTAGGCAGTGTTTCTCAAACGCCGGACCGCGGCCCGGTACCTTTCCCTCGTCTTATAGAAAAAAGAATTTACCGGGTCGCGGTCTCTCAACGTTTGAGAACCACTGCTCTAGAGACTGTGCCCACGCTGCCAGCTGTCTTCAGACATTCTAACAGGCGTTTCAGGGTTAAACCGGCGTTCTCGTCCTACATGGGAGGTCCTGGACCCAGGTCCTGTGAGTCTATGCACCGCTTTCAGTTGTTCCCATCTCATTGTTTTCTTCATACGTGGGGACGAACATGGCCGCTCCCCGGGCGACACAATGACACTTCTTTGCCGAGTTGTAGCAGACGGTGCCTCAAATCCACAGATCAATCGAAGGCATATAATACACACAGCCCATGACGAAACCGTAGGTGACATTGACGGCGAACATCAAAGTCATCATTGCACTCCGTCCCAGTGTCAACCCTAATGACACTTCCGTAAAGACGGGGAGGGTCTCCCATATCGCCATCTGCAGGACGTACGGCCTGGTTAAATTCTCTGTCGAACTGTCCTCCAGTGATTTCCGGTATAGTGATTGTCTCTGATGCTCCTCTGTCAGTGGTCACGAAACATGTCGCCTATCAGTCACTCGGTGTTTAGGCTGTGATGAGTCTCCCTTTAAGACGCGCTGAGCTGTAATGAGGTGGCGGGAGTGAAAGTAACAGCGTCTTTTTTCTTCTTTATGCTTTATCATGATTCATTGCTTGGCTTACTCCTTAACCTTGAAGATAGATGCAAAATCTTTCTCCTAAACTTCAGCTGACTTTCGCCGGGATAATTTTTTCTTTGGCACTACAGCCCCAGTGGGTCTAGGCCTACCTCCATGAACTTTTCCGTTCACTTTGGTTTTACTAGATCTTAGACATTCGGTAGGACTCCTTGGGCGGGTGATCAGCTCGTCGCAAGGCCTCTACCTAAACATCCATGCCCTGAGTGGGATTCGAAGCCACGATCCCGGTTTCCAAACCAGCGAAGACAGTATATGCCTTAGACCGCTCGGCTACCCTGACCGGCGCCGGGATAATTAACAAGGGGTGATATTCCAAGAGACAGAGTTCTTCTTACGTTAGGTAATTCATAGGAATATGTGCCTTCTTTAAGGCAAATTATGACCAAAAGGCGAACGCTTTTATTTCCAACTGAGAATAATTTGAGTGATGTATTTCGCATGTAGAATGCTGAGACGCCGCACCCCACAGGCAACTAATAGTTGCCCAACCCAGTAAACAAATCGTCATAGTAGCTATGATTAGGGCAGTTTATCGACATCTCGCCTGGTAACTCCAGTTTGTACAGCCAGTGAGAGCAATATTGAAAATGGAGACAGTGCATGTCATGTACAGGAAGAAGCTTCACTGGGATGCAAGGTGTGGTGACAGGTTGGGGCGTAACGGTACAGAATGGTGCCCCATCCGATGTTCTGAACGAAGTGACAGTCCCCATCTTGTCCAACAAGGAATGTAGGATGACTCCATATGGCAGCAGGAAGATCACAGACAATATGATGTGCGCTGGTTACCCTCAGGGCAAGAAGGACTCCTGCCAGGTGAGCCTATATTTTTGGAAATTCACCATCCAAATCTCTTGTAGCACTCACTCACTCATGGAGCTGAGCCATTCTTGAGAATCCGCCAATTTTGCAGCTACTCAAGAGCTACCAAGCATTTTATGGAACGCGAAAGTTCATTACCTTGTTCACAATAGCCCTCCAATAGTCTCTATCCTTAACCAGATCAATCCAATCAGATCTCTTGTAGCAGATTTAAAAAAAGTAAAAAGGAATAATTTAAAATTCTTTATTGATATGAACATTTTTAAACGAAAATAACATGCACATATATACCTCATGTAATGTTCAGACGCACTGAATGAATAGCCGTGTGTGTGTGTTTGTTATGAGAGGATACAGGTTCAGTAGGTACGTATAACAAAAGTGATTTCATACAGTCAAATCTTCGCTAACTGGATTGGACTCAGTAATTACTGCCAATTGACCTGAACCCAAAAGAGACAAGCTCGTATAGTTCACTGTTGTGTCAGAGAAAGACACCAGGCAAGGGAACCGAGAGTTTCAAGTCTATTGAAGATTGTGCGGTACTGACACAATTATTCAGGAAATCTGTTGCAAGTACAAATAACAACAATATGAATCCATATTACTTCATCTGCCTGCAAGAATGACTCACGGATTTATTTTGGTTTTATTGAATTAGTTAATCTGTTACTGTCTATACCGAAAATATACTTCCTGTCTCCATATATCTATTTTTCAGTTCCCTTGTCTAGTTGGATTAATAGGAAAACATACACGATTCATAAATCTGTCCGTTCCAATTGTTGCACTTTACTTGGCAATCAAATGCGTTTTAATGCCTAAAGCAACATAGTATGTTGTATTCACAAGATTGGTTATCATTCAGCGCGACTGCGGCAAATAATTTGAGAAATGTGTCATATTTTAATTCTTAAAAAAATTATTTAAATGAAAATGAGATTTATGCAATGTTTTTTCTTGAAACTGTCATGCTTTAGTTACAAGGTTAAAGTACAATGAGTGTTATAGGATACTGAGAAATATAATTGTTTCAATGAAGTTTATTTTAAGAAGAACACGGAAGTAGAACAGGGACTCCCTCTACTCAACATTAATCATCCAAAACTTCTGTTCTTATGTCTCCAGGGCGACAGTGGGGGACCCCTGCATGTTGCCAATGGGACAGCGCACAGCGTTGTTGGTAAGCTGATGTTTCAGGAGCTAATTCATATTAGTGCATTAAAGGCATTAGTGCCTTTATCTGTTCCGACAAGTAAATTTATGTGGATCAGTAAGCATGAATTATCTTCTCTCTCCATTAAAAGTGTTGATCGGCCGCGCCATAGCTCAAGCGGTTAGTCGCTGCCCCGGTTCGATCCCGGGTCTGGTCAAGTGCGATTTGTGGTGGACAAAGTGGTGCTGAGGCGGGTTTTCTCCGAGTACTTCGGTTTCTCCTGCCAATCTTCATTCCATCAAATTCTCCATAATCATAATCACCCGGAGCAGGTACAATAGGCCAATCAGTGGCCGCCGTGACAAGTGGACCCAGTTGGACTCCACCCTCCACTAAGCGAATTAAAATAAAAACATGTTGATCTGGTAAATGCCCAGGTATCGCTAATATACACAACAGTCTGTCAAATCGATGCGTCTTCCCCTTTTTGTATTATGCGGTATGAAGCGGAGTCAGACTGAGTGGTCACCCACCCAAATCTAACCTATCACTGTGTCGCTTAACCTAGTGTACTTGTCAACTACTTTATTTTCTTTGTAGCATGCTCTTCTTTGTGTCTTCTTGAGGATTTCTCTGTTCCGTGTGTGTTGATGTGTCTTAATAATATGGTGCTGGATTTATATGATTTGATGAAACCGAATCCTTCGTCTTTCTTTATACTGTTCTGATCTAATTTTGTTGCTCTTGCTTCTTTGAGAAGTCGGCTAATGCAGTCTGATGTTTTGGCTAGCACTTCAGTGCCTCACAACTTGATTCGTTGGCCTGATTCAGCGCTGTGCTTCACATTCACCATGATGATGGAAACAGAGGAGATCTCTGACACTTTGGTTGTTAACCCAACACTAACAAGTCTGATCACCAGAGTAGAAGTTAGCATATTTACTATTAGCTGCGAGAATTCAAATCTTGCATGATGTATTCCCTTCACTTTTACTGACAAACAGCTGACAGATTTTCTGTTTCTTCGATCAAGAATGTGACCTTTACAATTTATAAAAATTGATTAGGTTGATAGTTCAAAGGCATATTCTTAAACATGTCCTGAAATGTTATTCAAGAAAAACGTTTCTCTGCAACACGTAAATGTTAAGTTAATAGCGTCGCTATTCAAGTTTTATGTTTTCCTGTTCTTAAATAAGTAAGCACTGCGGCGTGAAGGACTGGATGTATAGATTCACATTGACCTCGGCATTAGCTGGAGTAGAGTGTTCAGCTTCACGCCCCTTCCGCTTTACACCCGGGGAAAGAGCCCACGGTACTCATTGGATAGCATGTTGGGTGGACCCCAGTGTCGGTATGGACGACGTGGAGAAGAGAAATTTCTTGACCTCACCGAGACTCGAAATACGACCCCTTGGTCATTCAGCCCGTAGCCAGTCGCTGTACCGACTGCTCTATCCAGGCTCCCGTTGAATAAAATATTACGGAGTTCTTCTGTGTCATATTTCTGTTTCAGCAATGCTGGAAATGCCCCCCATATTTTACGTAAAATATCTTCTGTCAGTATCAGACTGCAGCCACAGTAAATGAATCGAATTCAGTTGAGACGCATAGAAGCTGAATCCAGCTTCATTCTACTAGCTAAGTCCAGTCGAGTGAATCTGGCGTTCTTTAGTCAGATTCGATTAAATTCGACTGGACTCTAATTGGTTAGTGCGACCCCAGATTTACCCGTTTCTCTCTGTTTCTAATTTTCACGCTGAATGAACATTACCGGTTTCTGTAATGTATTATCGACCCATATCCGCCCCCCCCCGTTTCTCTTGCGTAGTGACCGTGTAATGCATAATGGGATCACAGAGCGGCGCCAAGGAAGCGAATAATTCAACATAAATAAAAGAGAATATAGATTTATAGACTTCCGTAGCTAATAAATATGAAAATCCATTGTTTCAATGCCAGTTATTTAAACATTTCCTGGCTATTTTTCCAATAAACATCCGTCAAAAGAAAGGATGGATGAATGAATGAATGTATGTTTGCATGAATTAATGAATAAACAAAAGCTTGATACCTCATTATGGGTTTTGGTGTCTTTTATGGGAACAAGAAACGTGGACGACAACGATATTTGTATTTCAGGAGTGGTGTCTTGGGGTGAAGGGTGTGGCTTGCCCAATCACCCAGGCGTATACACCAGGGTGAACCGGTATATCACATGGAACAAAAGAAATACAAGAGATGCGTGCTTCTGCCAATGAAACTTGTGGCGCCATGCTGCTTAAGCTTCATCTAGTCTTCTTGAGATGCTGAACGTTATATGCTCGACACCGTCCAACGTACATAGTTTATTTATTGTAATTTGTTAACTTTAATGATTTTTAAATAAATCATAATAGTATCACCACACAAATATGGAATTGTAAGATTCGCCGCTCTCAGCATATCCGGCATTCGTTGTATGAATTTGATTTCTTGGAGAACAGTAAGAGTAAGAGTCAGGAGCAGGGTACTCGGTGTTCGATTCCTGGCAGGGTAAGGGATAGCTCTCCTTGCCACCACATCCAGACCATTCCTGGGGTCCATTTAGGTCCTTGTCCAAATTATACCCAAAGTGTAAAATGGTCGATTATCTCATGCACTCTTGAGATGAAGAAGGCACGGATCTAAACAGTGATACCCTCGTGTATTTTATGGTGTTATGTTTAATTAATCACAAAACACAACTTTATTTATCTTAGCTTTACTTGAAACTGTCCTTGCTTTTTATTTTCCTCTTTCTTTCCGTGTTAGTCTTATGACAGCTTCTTAAAATAAATATCACTTCAGCATCTTTCAAGTTACCATTCATTATGGCCTTGGGACGGGGTTTTTCTGAGGACTTCGGTTTCCCATGCCAATCTTTATTCCACCAAATTCTCCAGCATCATAATCACCTGGGGCAGGCTACAATAGGCCAATCAGTGGCCGCCGTACTTAGTGGACCCAGTCGGATTCCACCCCACCACTAAGCGAATTAAAAGAAAATTACCATTCACATCTTATTCAGCCGCACGAAAGGAACATTCTAAAAGAAAGGTATTCAGTAAGCAACCAAATATTAGATTTCGACCATAAGAACCGACTATAGTAAGACTGTAAGTAACATATGAATATAGAAAGGTAATGCTATCCCTGTAACGGGTCGTGGAGGCCCATAGGGCTGTGAGACGTCTAGGCTTACAGATGTCTTTGAGATTGTCAACCTTACGCGCCGGGCGCCCTTTACATCAAGGAAGATTTCTGGTACTCATTTCTATAAGAGCCTGAGTCGACCCCGAGACCTGTAGTAATGCTGAATGGATTAGATAAATTTAAAAATGCAGTAACTTAATCGGCAATCGAACCCGCGACCTTCTTGATTGAGCATAATGCCTCAACGAACTAAGGTACCGCGTGCCCCACATATGAACATAAAATGATAAAATTTAATGAAGATAAACGTATCCTTATTTGTGGTTTTTTGGTTAAGATAGCAGTATCCCAAACTATATGACATAGAATACTAACATTAATAGTGAAAAGTGAAATGCTGTCCAGATATTTCTTGAAGGGACAAGAAAACTATCGAGATTTCCGGTCTTCCGGCCAATCAAGAACACTTATATGGTATGCATGGAACACGTGATACATACATGCAACATTTTAGTCGAAAAATCTTAAGGAAGAGAGACCAATTTGTGGCTTAATTGCACATAGAATAATAAACTTATTACAACGGATCCTAAAGATATACTGTGCTGTGAGACTGTGACTGGAAATATCTGTAGTCCAGTGGTCATCTCTTTTCAAAGCAGTAATGAACTTTCAGGTTTCGCGAAGAATGGGGGCTTAATTGACTGCTGAATTGCTGCGTGGATTGAGTTAAAAAATAAATGAGACCGAAATTTCACAATATCTCACATGTAAATACTGAATTTGTTTTTTTTCATTGGCGCTACAGCCCTCATTTGGGCCTAGGCCTGCCTCTATGAAACTCTCCGTAAATATTGAATTACTAAATTACAATCAGGTGGATATTTTCATAAAAGGCAGAGTGGAATTTAAATACGCTCAGAGAAAGCCGTGTAAAACAAATAAAAGCTGAAATTTTCTCAAGCGAGCAGCCATTTTATTGTTGAGAAAATAAACATATTTCAGAGCGTAGTCAGTAGCCAACATAATTCTGTTAAAATGAACGGTTTGAGTCACGATACTTTATAGACTCAATAGTATTTTGAGTAATTTAATTTGTCCTCTTGTTTAAAGACCTGTATTAAGGACAACATGCAGACAAATAAAAAATGTTGTATAAATAGCTAATGCCTTCGAAATCCAATAGCCTATAACGAAACAAAATTTATCTTCATGCTCATGTAGTTGCTAATTAGCTAAAGGTTCTTGCATAGATCTACATATATGGAAACACCGTGACAGTGTACAAGACAAGAGAACAAAGTCTAAATATGTAAGTGTCCTTCTAATTGAAGCACAATAGATCACTGTAGGTCGCAGTGCAAGGGCCGAGAAGGTCCACCCCTTGTACATTCATCCCTTCTAATTAGGTTCTAACATTAGAATAATTCGCTTGCTGAATATGTTCACATTAATGTAGAAGAGAATGACACAGGCTTCGGTGCGGGGATCAGTCCAAAATGAAATTGGTTACTTGAAGAAAAATATCGACTACTTTTTTTCTTAGTAACTAGTCAACTGGGTGGAAAAGAGTCCTTGAGGACCTGTAAGTTGCGCAAGTAGTCAGTTAATTACCATATTTTGAAATTCAATTACTAGTCAATAAATATTGAACACAACATAATAGAATAACACGGAATGGAGAGGTGTCGAAGTTTGCATTTTTCATTTGTTAACATTGTCTCATATTTTTCAAACCCGCAAAAGATATCTTTTACAATATAAGATTTGAGGTTTTCACAGCGGTGACTATGAAGAATGTCGTCTTCTAGGATGTGGCGTCGTGTAGATATTGTGCAAACCGACGTTTCGGAGGAACGTATTGCCTTCATCCTCAGGGTATAAAAATCCGCGAACGAAGAACCAGTCTGCAGCCACCCGCTCACGCTGCTACCTCGATCGCAGACTTTTATACCCTGAAGATGGAGGAGATACTTTCCTCCGAAACGTCTGTTTACACAATATATACACGACTCCACATCCTAGAAGACGACATTCTTCATATATTTTACAAATATATTTTGCATACATCGGTTTCTTGTAGTTGTATGAATTCAAATATTACGCTAAATGACTATCAGTTTCTAGCGAGTGACACACAATTCACACAGACGTATCATAAAGTCCTCGGAATGCTGGAGCTTCCATTACTCAAACAGTTTAGCTGATCCCATCACTGAGTGTCTGCACTTGTAGCTTGAGCAGCACCGTTACTCCTCGGGGTTTGTTCCTCCACAGCTGCGTTGTTCAGCAACCAAAATGTTTCCATCACCCCTTTTCCCTGATACAGAAAACAGCAGAAACTGAGACAAAAATTTCAGAAGTGCAGTTACTAGAATATGGATACCTGAATCCTACATCTGTTTCAGTTCTTGCCATTCGTTGTCTCAAAACTGCAACGCAATAAGGAGGTGCGCAGAATATGCAGCGGATGTAGCCGTAATCGGGACCTATAAATTGTACATGAATAATGGAACACGCGATGTTTTCAGCTAGACTAAATGCAATGACGTTCATCCTCATAGATACGGAGCAAAATATATATTGCCCGGGACATATTTTGTCTTAGTTCGTCGGTTGCATCTATAAATTCCGCTGAGATGTGTGGCAGGCTGAACGGAATGCCGATATTTTGATATTGGCACTCCGTTGGGCCTCCACATTCCATTAGCAATTGGCTAGACTCAGAATAAGAGAGCTTTAGATTTGTTCAAAAATTTCCTCTGTAAACAGAAACTAGATATTAAAAATCTGTATTGATGATAGACAAGATGTTCCAGTAATGAAATTCAGAGAGCTGAAGTTTTACCTGATGCGTATATTTAACTGGAAATTAATTTTCATCTTCTTGATTTTTTATACTCCCGGAAATATTTATCTTGCTACACCTGCTCAGAAAGCATTACCTCTGTAAAATTATTTGCTTATGTTTTAGTAGTATCTCATATGTAATTTAAAAATCCGACACCAGCAAATCTGTAGCTGCCAGCTACGTACTTTCACTGTGACGAGTCCTCTGGGTTCTGTGACATACTGATCAGGAAGAAGTTGTCGAGTTGTTGTCGATATGTGAATCTTCCCAGGCTGAAAGCAAAGCGAAACACTCAGCTGTTATAGAGAAGAACCAGCAGGACAATTTCTCCGATCACAGATGGTATTGGGAAGGGGCGCGTCGTATCATATGTCTGAGATATTGCTCTGATTGAAAATTAATTTTTGGCTAGTTGGAAAAACCTTTAATAAAAGAAACAGAATATGAACCACACACCAGTACAGGCAGATAAATCATGCATATGAAATATGAGTGGATCCTTAACGCAAAGTAGAATAATTTATTATGGACTAAGATGTTATGAATAATCAAATAATTTGATGATCCGCAATCCCTCAATTACTAAAATATTTACACAAATATATATGTATCGTTTATGCTTAATAGGATGCTGGATAGGTCCCGGAGCCGTTCAGGACGCTATGGAGAAAAGTAAATCTTTTGCCCCTCTCCGGAATCGAACACCGCCCCCTCGACCCTCCAGTCCGCAGTCTAGTCGCTATGCTGACTGACGTATCCCTATTATACACACACACACACACACACATATAAATATACACACCCATGGATAGAATTAATCTTGGAGAACTAGGGGGGTGCAGTGGACTGCATTGAACTGGCTCAGGATAGAGACCAGTGGCGGGCTGTTTTAAACACGGTAATGAACCATTCCTTCCTCCCTTCCTTCCTTCCTTCCCCTCGGCTCTATAGCTCAGGATGGGCTTTGACCTCCTGAACAATCTGCCTCCATTTTTCTCTATTCTTCCACCCACCCGAGGCTGATTATCTGTCTTCAGAACAATTTAGTTTTTACCGGGTGAGATTTTAGCCTCACGCCCAACCCTCTGGAGAACCAGGCTATCCCAGCATAGCTCTCAGGGTCTTAGGAGCTGTCAAACCCCACCACCGCAATAAGGTGGAGACACCATCGGTCGGGAGTAATGAACCATTGGGTTCCATAAAGTGGTGGGATACTCATGAGTAGCTGAGCAACTTTTGGCTTCTCAAGGACTCGGCTAGTTAATGTAAAGCTTAACAAAAACGTAAGAATTTGTATTACTGTGTCTTTGATAACGATCCTGGGATCAACCCTTGTCGGACAATAATAGAATTATATATAGACGTTGTATTTGGATACATGAAACGGAGAGTTTCATGGAGGTAGGCCAAGGCCCAAATTGGGGCTAAAGCGCCAAAGGAAAAACAATTGTATACTAACAACATACATCTCTTGCACTACGACAGAACCTTACGATTTCAATCCGAAAATACACACGAATATTTTGCAGTTAAGTGTATTAGCGTTTCGTGACAAGGTACTCACCATGCTTGTGGTTTGCATTCTGGCTGCAGTGTTGACGGTATCTCCAAACAGACAGTATCGAGGGACCTTGAGGCCCACGACTCCAGCAACCACAGGACCAGAGTGGATTCCTGTTATTCAGAAGAGATTGCAATGTAGGAGACAAGCTGCAGAGTCAAGGAACCTTGTTAATCAGTTCATACTAAGGTTTCTAAGTTGTGGAGAAAATTTTTCTTCTTACATTGCATATCATTGTCGACTTATATTGCCGACACAAAACCAATTATAAAAACAGTAGACTGGGATTCAAATTAAAATAATTCGACATCTATTGCTACAATGTATTAGTTTCATCACGTATTAGTGACTAGATACGGGGTTTGGATTAGTAATTGGAAATATTGAACACTTATAAATCTTAGCTAAAGGTAATTACGTGTATAAGGTTGACGCTACATCAAGCACTTAACTACTCACTACAGCACACGATAATTCTCCTCTTTTCACTTCACGTTGCCTCGTAACGGTTTGCAACAGTCTCGTCTGTTTACATCCTTACTGGCTCGTGACTCTCTCACACCTAACTCAACCGTCAATTTTCAACAAATGACTCCAACTCACAGCCTTCCAGCCATGGTTCACCGTCACTGCGTTTATGTTGTGTGTAGGTAGCGGCCTTGGGACGGGCTGATCCCCCGTCCAAGGAGTCCTGCCGACTGTGTATAGATTAAGAAACCGAAAAAGCGGCCAAGATTCACAAGGGCTATGAAGACATAGATAAATAGATGGATGGATAGATGGATAGACAGATAGACAGATAGATAGACAGATAGATAGATAGATAGATAGATATGTATTTTGTGTTAGATATTACTATTTTTCTCCACAGAGATCTCATTTTTTCGTTAAGTAATTATTAATTTACTTTTTTAATTCGTTTAGTGGGAGGTGAAGTCCAACTGGGTCCACTCGGCACGGCGATCACTGATTGGTCTATTGTAGCCTGTCCTGGGTGATTATGATGAAGGAGAACTTGGTGGAAAGAAGATTGGCAAGGAAAACCGAAGTACTCGGATTTTCGTTAGGTAACACCAGGTACTGTAAAAATGTCTGCGACATAGCTTACTTCTTACGTTTTAAGTACGTGACTTGTAGTTTCGGGTGTTATGTGTGAGTTACATATTATCAAGCTCTTTGGCTTTAATAGCAAATAAATTTGTTACTGAAGAGTTCTATTTTCTGGGATATAACCCTCAATAACCACTACCGTGAGAAGCTGAAATCCTATAAAGTAGTAAATTTTATAACTTTGATAATAGACACATGAGATTCGAGACTTTCATATGGTGAAGATTTACAATATTTTGTCATTTTTTAGTTTATTCACTAAGTAGTCTATTAGATGGATACCAAAGTTTCGGAGGAACTTAATGCTGTCAATATTGAGGAGTGAAGAACTGGTCATGGGAATTATATTCTGCAAGTCCATGAATAAGAAAAGAGTATGGACCCACTGTCATTAATGATGGATTGTTGCGTGATGTACAGAGTCGTTTAAACTACAGAGAATATATATTTGATGAATAAAATTTGAAGACGAGTTTAAATTATGAATAGTTAAGAGATATGTACAGAGGCGGTTCTGAGTTATACGAGTATAAAGAAACTCCCAGCAACTGACCGATTCTAATTTGTATGCTGATTCCTGAAGGCAACTGAAGCTGCTTGACGTGCCGGAGTAGGCAGAGGGAGACATCAGCAACGTTCTCCGCATGCTGGGGTGTGTACTCTGGAGCACCGCTCACTACCATATACACCTGCCCCACAGTCTCAACCTGGAGTGACAGAAATTGTGAGTGCAGAATTTCCAAAATATTTACTCCACATAAGTTGAGTTAAAGTCGACCACAGTGGCCTTGACGCCAAAAGCGCATAATATCTTCGCCACCAAGGGATTCTTTATATAATAAACTTTATTTTCGGGATCGAACTTGGAACCCTTCGAATACTAATTGGTGGGTTTCATTCTAGAGCCTGATTCCTGCCAGTATACGCCTTCGTGGGGTAGTGTTTAAATAGTTAAGTACAGAGACAACTTTATCTTATTGGCATCATAAAATAACCCGCGCAAAGAAAGAGAAGATTCCGTATTCCGTAATGAGGGGGTGGGTTTCCCCATGCACTTAGACCGGTTAGTGGTCCATTGTGCGTCCCCCTTTAATTTCTACTGTCTCCATACCCTACCAGTACTGGTGCTTACTATCAGCCCCTTTCTGCCAGCAAGGTTCCAACCTCCTCTGGCAGTGGTATCTAATAGTTAGTTCCTTTCTGTCAAAGAGGTCCCCCCTCCTCTGGCAGTGGCACCTAATACTTCCCCCATCTACCGGAGGAATTGGAAACTACTTGGGCGGGACATGTTGCATAATTTTGCTCAGAGGTCTCCTAGAGACACGAGGTTCTTTTACGTGCCGTAAATCTACGACACGGGACCCACGGCTTGAAGTCCCTCCCGGAGGACTTATTCCCTGAATTTTTCCGCCCTTAAAAATTCCACGACCTCCGCCGGGTTTTTGAACCCGCGTACTACGAGTCATGAGGTGGGAACGTTACCTCTAGACTACGGAGGCCGCTAAAAAAGAGAAGATACCTAAAGACTGGATTCCAGAAACATCATATTAGTGCTTTATCACATATTTCTCAATGAATAAACAATGTCGAAAATACTACAGGTGAAATGAATCAAAGGTTTTCCACATACTTGTAAATTAATTAGTGTTTAAGAGCTGTTATTGATAAATCTCCTTTTTGGACGCAGTATGTTGAAATTCGTGTTTTAGTGTATGCTACCCTCTTCTGTCAGACTCAGCATGACGGTTTTGATTCTGCTTTGTACTTTCTACTCATTGTGTGCATATTCCGGTTTATTGTTGAGTTTCTTTTGCATATAATGTTGGATGTTTCAAATTATACACAACTTTGGAGGAGTTAGAAGGTACTAAGCACAGTGTAAAAATTAAGGCACGTTCTTTCTCTTTCCTTTAATAATTTCGATAGGCCTAACCTTAAAACTTGAGTAAAAATTGTATTGAGTGTAAAACATGTGACTAATTTTTCTCTACAACGTTCATTCGAAACACTCATATTTCATTAGGCATGTGTGGGTTTCCATTCTTGATGAACACAGAGACTCATGCAGGTTTTTACGTAAAGTGTCAATTATTGTTCCATTTTAACAAAAACTGGAACTTATTCAATAATTTTAACAAAATTTTCCAGTATCGTATTACATGATAATTCATTCAGCAGTCCTCGAGTTGTTAGATGCCCACAGATGGACACAAAAGGAGATACGGACAGTCAGAGAGATGGCTATACAGTTAGTGAAACTAATGAGAATTTTTTAAACTTTTCATAGTGAACGGACAAGAATGTCGACTTATAATTCAATTTACGCATAGCCTGTAATATCCTAAGAACTGGCTAATTACATTTTACATTATGATATTTTATAATTCTCATACCTTGTAGACATTGTAGCGATCCATGAGGGCATCGAAACAGCTGAAGACTGCGTTCATGCTCATAACAACGTCCATGGCGTCCTGCACTGTTGAAGAACTGAAGTCCACCAGCTCACAGAACAGAACGGACACCGCGTCGAAGGACTGGAAGTGAACAAGATAATGTCCACTACATTTAATATTTTAGGCCGAAACTTGAGTACACAGAATAATGATTATAGAATTAAAATTGTATATTATAAATTTGGTAATTTCATGCATTAGAACACAAGTTTTAACAGAAGATGCAATATTATCTCAATGAATGCCAAGTATATGTTGCATTAGTATATGAATGTGACATTAATACTTGCTTTACGAATATTTTAGGATGCATTTTGAGTTGCTTCGGTCATACACCGTCCGGTGATGGGATAGTTGTAAATTAGGAAAGGGAGGAAGCATATGTGGTCAGTTTTAAGGTTCAATCTCAGCATGTGCTTGGATATACTGAGAAAATCACGGAACTTGAGTCAGTCTCCAGGTCGATATTCGAAACTGAACTGTCCCTGACACGAGGCAGGCAGATATACGTATTGTCTCCGATTGCGTACATACAGAGAATATTCATTTCTCGGCACGTCTTAACATTGAAATATTTCACCCCAATTGGGCTAAAACAAGCTGCATGCATGTGTAGATGTCGAAAACAGATGAAAGGAAAGTGAAATGGAGAGGAGGAAAAGGGGAATAGAATGAGAATTAGAGTAATACGAAGGATGAGGGGAAAGTGAGGATAAGAAGACAAAGGTGAGATAAAAAAGAAAAACCAAAAATTGAAAAAATATGAAGATGTTGAGTCCAAGAGGGAAGAAAATAATAAAAAACTTGAGAAAGAGAAAAAATACAGAAAAGAACTTTGAGATATAGACCCATAAAAGGAAAACATGAAAGACGAGAAGAACAAGAAAACGAGAATCAGGAGAAGATGAAAAAGAAAAAGTGATGAATATAATGCTTCGTACGTAATCTGTACATTCTGTTTTCAGGAAGTATTATCCGCAGCTTCTCTCTGGAAAGGTAAGGAACCATTCATTCTATTTGCACTGCAACAGTATCTGCCGGAGCCAGAGGTGAGACGTTTGCTGCTTCATAGGATGGGGCATAGAGTGGAAAGAAGTGTGCTGCAGTGATAAACAAAGTAAAGAGAATGCTTGGAGAAGAGAGCCGTATCACTTTATATCAATCAAGCCAACTAGGATGGCATTTTTCTCAAAAAAAGTAAAAGCAGTAAATCTTTGGTATAAGGGACCAGGATATGAAGGATTTACAATATAACGGATAAAATCTGGCTGTGAATTTTTAGCAGTATCGAGGCACTAGAAAGATTTTGTAGTCAGGAATCTGTTAAAAATAAAAAAGAACTTCAGTACAGAAACCTTTATGTAATCATATTATGTGTTTCTATGTTTATTGCTTGTACTGGCTGGGTCCTGTGGTGTTCTTCAGGGAACATCCTTCACTCTGTTACCGCGGACATCGGCTTTAACCAACAACTCCCCGTTAGTCCATTATAACGATCGTTACCTGTATTGAAGGAAACTGCAATGAACCACAATCGCTGCCACCTCAAGTGCAAGGCACGATAATTTGAAATATAAACAAAATGCTCTGGTTGATTCTTACGTTATTTATCTTCGCCGATTCAACTAGGGAATTTGTATAGCTTGAAATGAGACGGTGCAAACAGCATCGGCAACGTCCTGGAGATATTTGTCGAGTCGCCGCTGAACTGCAGTAATGATAGCGGTCCTTCCGGTAGAGAATCGAAATTGTAACTGACAAAAGAGGCCTAAAACATTGTAGCTACAGCCTGCTCGATGTAAAGAGCTCTGACATTGAGCTCATTTGTTGTAACCCAGATATATAGTAGGGTGGGACTAAGTCCCTTGTTCTGCGGCCACTACTGGCATATTGTACTAGCCCCAGATGATAGGTGAGGGTGATTGTGGAGCAATTGGTGGAATGAAGATTGGCACGGGAAACCGAAGTACTCGGAAAAAACCTGCCCCAGCCCCACTTTTTCCACTACAAATCCCACTTGGCCAGACCCGGGATCGAACCAGGGCTGCCGCGATGGAAAGCCAGCGACTAACCGCTTGAGCTATGGCGCGGCCTTGTAACCCAGATAGGTTTTGTCTTTCATTTTCCGCAGACGTTGACGTTTATTGTGCCTCGGTTTCCTCATTAAAAACCCGTCAAGTGGAAATGAAACGGTCTGGATCGACAAAGCAGACCAAGCAGTCTTGAGAAGTGAGATCAAGTGGAAGTTTCCACCACACTACGTCATAGAAACCATTCGACAGTTCCCATATGAAACACCTAGCCGATTAACGCAGCTGTAAAGCTCTTGAGTCTTGTTCATGAAGCACCCGGTTCGAATACTGGTCGCTGACCGGCTAATGTGTCCCTGATTCATCGGAGTCTTTGCAAGGCTCCACTGCAGAATCGAGAGAGAAGCTTAAATAGACCATGACTGCTTCTTTTTTCATTCAGAATTGTCCTGCAACATGACTTTTTTTTTATCAGAATATCAGAAACTAGATGATCGTCTGTAAATAGCCGGATAATCTACATGTGACGCTGTATTAACAATTTCGTCAGTTCATTGCACAAAATCATGGAATAAACTCATAGAGAGGGAATCGGAATAAGAGGATCAAGGAGAATTGGATGGCCAGAACATGTAGTGCGCATGAGAATGATGAGGAATAAATAATGCACCATTTTTTTCATGATAGCTGTAAAGTCAGCAGTTACGCTAATCATAGAGTCGCGAGACAGAAAAATATGGTAGTGACTTCCGCTGAAACCGGAACCCGGAATTAAAAATTACTGTGTTAGCGGGGACCAGCAGGAATTTACCCGACTGATGGACCCGACTGGGATAAGTAAAGAGAAGGGACAACTTGCGAAATTTGGACGTAGATGGCAAGTTAATATTGTAATAAGTTGGAAGGAAATGTTGTGTGAGAATAAAAAGTGGATTTATTTGATTCGAATAGGATTCTTTGGTGGGAACTAATGTGTATGCAATGAACCACCGAGTTCTAGCATTCCAGTACATTTCCAGTACATTTATACCTTCTCTGTAGTCACACTAGTAAAGGCTGAAGCATAACCCCAAGCAACAATAATAGGTTTCCAGCCATTTATGGAAGTACCTGACATGTATTGAGTGAATTCTTTTCGGTGCGCAGCCTGTCAGCAACCGAACGGGGGATCATGGAGTACAGCAGTTCGTCACCTCTCCTCTTCCAGCAGTCAAGAAGGGTGTAGTTTCTCTCCAGCTCCAAAGATCTCTGCTCAGCTCTCTCGAACATCAGCTCAAGTCTGGGGACAACACGTATCTCAATTTGCCTTATGTACTCTGATAGTTTCGTTTGTATACTTATTACCATTTTAATGCTATAAACGAATTGTTTTGAAATACATCCTGGATTTCCTATACATTTCGTATACTAGGACAAGGTTATCATCGAAAGAAATTATTTCCTAGCCTCCCACAGTCTTCACCCTCCCTACATTGCCCTAATCTGAGGGGTGAGTGATTTTCGTTTCTTGGTCCTGTCCGCGTAGTCCTGTCACTGCTGTGAAGGTGAGCTAGGAGACATTCAAACTTCCGGTTTGTTCTAGACATGGAGAAGGAATAACACGAGATAATCCCTCCTCTTCAAGAAAACAACCAATTCTGTGTAACTCTGCTAGAATACGTTTACAGAAATAACAGACAGGGTGGCTCAGTCGGTATAGCGACTAGGCTACGAGCTGGACAACAGCGGAATAGGGGTTAGATTCTCGGTAGGAGTAAGAGATTTTTCTCTCCTCCATAATTTCTAGACCAGCTCTGAGACCCATCCAGTTTCAAATCCAAAGGGTACGGAGAGGGGGGGGGAGTCTATTTTTGCGGGTGTAAAACATCAGTGACTCGAAGCTGGTCACTCAGTGCAGAGGTTAATGGTGGCAGAGCTATACTTCCGCTTAATTAATTAATTAATGCTTAATTAATTACAAACACATTAAACTATGAAATATTTCTTACCTAGAACAGTGTTGCCATCCGGCTAAGACCATTTCACGGCTTAGGCCGTGCAGGTTAAGGTCGTTGAAGTACAATCCCATGTTTGGAAGCTCATCCAGGTTATTTATTCTGTAAAATAAGAACCGTAAAAACAGCTGCATTTACCCTGACTTCGTTTAAACGGATTATACTAGCCCGATGGGCAGAGACGAAAGTAACTATTTTGGATCCCGCTGCAGAATTTTGCCGCCCAACCGACAGCAATTTATCTGAGAGCCCTCTTTTATCGTTCTAAGTTTATATTGAGTTTTGTAACTAAAATACCTCTTCCGACAACAGCCTGAGCCTGGGGCAGCTCTTAGTACTCCCTCCCTCCATCCCCTACTTACGCTACTTGCAGCTTTTGTTCTGTAGATGGAACATCTGTGGACAAAAATAGCTTCAAACTGTAGTATGAATAAACCAAGTGTTTTATTAAAGTATGGAGTTCTTATGACTATGATCCCAGATAGGAAGAAATGTTTCGCAGTTATTCCTCTGAATATGCTCCCAGATATGTATATTTCGCAGTTATTCTTGTGACTACGCTGCCAGATACGAAGATACTCGTATGTTTCGCAGTTACTCCTGTGACTAGGCTCCCTGATATGAAGATATGTTTCGCAGTTATTCTTGTGACTACGCTACCAGTTACGAAGATACTCGTATGTTTCGCAGTGACTATACTTCCAGATATGAAAATATGTTTCGCAGTTATTCCTGTGACTATGCTCCCAGAAATGAAAATGTGTTTCGCAGTCTTTACCTTTGGGAAGGGAATCGTTTATATAGAGTCGTTATGCAACAGGACAAGGAGTGTGCCTCAGAAGGCTTCTGAATTTGTTATCTTTTCGAGATATCCTCGATCAGAGATATGTTTAGAGGATGGATACTGATGCAGGACCACACAAATGCATTTGTTCTAATTTAGCTACAGCATAATTATTAAATTTGTTGAAGCAAAGCGTAAAGTACGTGTATATCTAAAATAGGGGGAAATTCAATGGGAAATAATTTTCTTCGTACCTTTCATCTCCTCTTTTTTCGTTTCCTTTATCCCTTCCATAACTTTATCTAGTTTGTTCTTTCTCCGTTAAAATAATGACTACTGTTATATTTTTATTTTTCAGATGATTCAATTTCGAAGACGGATCTTCCACCCGTGTAAGTAATTGAAAACTCCAGCGAGAATGACACAGCGAGCACACATGGCCATGCAACATACATACAAGTACATGACCATCAACGGTCTACCATTATATACACCTATATAAATAAATTGATATTTGCTTGTAACTCAGATAATCTACAATTTGCCTCCTCCTCTAGGACGAAGTTTTCGCATCGGACATTTTGATCCCGACAGCACTGAATGATGAAGATGTTCAACATAAAAGGATTTGCAACATAACAAAGGGCCCGAACAACAGTGAAGGGTAAAATCCTTGATTAAACAAAGATTTAATTTTGTTAGAAAGAATGAAAGGGAGGATTCGCAATATATTCAACTGTTCTCAAAACTGAAATCTTACAAAAGGACGTTCAATTTTCGGCAGTAGATTGCATATATATTAATAAAAAGAAGAGAAAAGTCTCAGCATTACTGCGACTTGCTTCTTATGCGGAAGAGAAAAGTCTCAAAAATTCTATTTGTTCGTATTTACAAACAAACATTAAAATCCCGCTGATATATTGGGTTTTTGGACTTTATCCATCGTCCTGGTTTTTAAGATAACTAATAAAAACACGACGTTTCGGAAACTGGATCTGTTTCCGTCCTCAGGCGAAGGAAAACACCTATTCTGTTGGGTCCCTTAGAAAGAGCTAGCCTCAATCACTGGTCCACTGGTCCAGTCCAGTGATTGAGGCTAGCTCTTTCTAACGGACCCAACAGAATAGGTGTTTTCCTTCACCTGAGGACGGAAACAGATCCAGTTTCCGAAACGTCGTGTTTTTATTAGTTATCTTAAAAACCAGGACGATGGATAAAGTCCAAAAACCCAATATATCAGTGTGTTATACACCATCGTCAGAATCCTATAGTAACTACTTAATTAAAATCCCGGTACTGTAATACATGTATTTCCAGCAGCATTCAAAAATAGATTCTTAAAGTGGCACTTCCAAATATGAAATGGCGATCTAATCGTGTTTTTCTAACTAATCGTGTAGAATTATTTATTTATTAATTTAAGAACACTTTCTTAACCGCATAGATTATATGTGGCCGTGTAGGTGAATAACTGGGAATTAAATGCAATCACATACCCACAAACCAACAAAACAGATGCCACATCAATACCAGCACCAGAAGAACCACAAGGAAATACGTGTACATCGGTAGAAGAGATACATCTACACAAAACTACTATGTTCAGAAAAACATGAGAAAACAGTTATGTATGTTTAATTATAATTTCAATGATTTAACATTTTAAAAATCAACATTTAATCTCAGAGGTGAACACACCTTATTGTATACAACGGCATTACATATGACTAAAAAGCCAATATTTCGATATGTAAACACTGGTAAATGTAGGAATACCAGTAGACGAATACAGGTGAATGTAAAAAGTCAAATACCTGATGATGGCTTAAAGAGTCGAAGCATATTGTAAGAAACGACGAATGTATGGTGTGTCCATACTTCCTGTTGTGGAGACGGAATAAAATGAAGGAAAGTAACTTACATTAACTTACTGCATCTGTTACCCTGATACGTGTCTGTGTCCTACTGGCGTGTCACAACAGAACCGCGATTTTGATCCCCTGTGGTGAATGAATTGCCACATATGCTCAAAATGTGTTTAGTCTGAATGATCATAACAACGTGAGACAAAAATTGGCGGGCGCAGCTGATGGAGTAATTTAATCACTTCGTCGTGTCAAAGCTTCATTTTTCATCGCTTGAACTATCTCATTATGCCGCCATTGTGGTTTCACATATTGTATAACGTGCTTGAAATCAGTGATATGCCTCCACAGCATTTCGAATGTAGGAAATATTCAAATATCGCTTTTCTCATTTGGGTCTCTTTTGCAATTCTGTATTTCAGCGTCCTGTTGCAAATCTTTAACTAAACGTCTATGTATCTACAGTCCATCAATAATGCAACAATTATTTGTCACCATTTAACAATTAACACAACATGTTTCGACCTGAAGATGGCCATCTATGGCCGAAACATATTGTGTTAAGTGTTAAATGGTGAATAAACAAATGTTGCATTATTGACGGACTGTGGATACATAGACGTTTAGTTGGACTTCCCTGTTGCATTCCTACTGCAAGGGTAACACTTTCACTTACAGAGGGCTGCACAGAAATACGATAGCCTTGATGTCGTCGATGTACTTCATCTGCCCTTTGAGCAAGATGCTGCGGGTGCCCTGACTGCCTCGTCGGCGGTCCAGGAGGAGGGGCAGTGTCGGCTTGTGCGTAACTTCCACAGCAGCTGCGCTCAACTCATCTTCCGCCTTCGGCGTCCGGATTATTTCCAGCTCGAACAGCACAGAATGCAGGTACAGTGTCTGCAACAAAAGTCAAGTTGTGTTTTATCCAGAAGTACATTGTCACAGCCTGCTTCTCAGTCTATTTTAATATCTTTTGTGCCTTGATTTTACGCGCTGCCAATATCTATACTTTGTTAAATATAATTCTCTCATCTACACCTGCTGTCCCTAGTGCTATCTTAATTTTCATTTTTACAACCTAACTTCTGTATCCGTTTCTCACTTCACCATGTGTTCTGCGTAAATTACCTGTCATATTCTTGTTTAACCCGCAGTGTTTTCCGAAGAATATAAACGCCCATATCATAGGAGAAACCCCCATTTTTGTTCATGCTAGAATTATGAAGTTTGCTCGTTCGTACGTTTTTTCGCAATAAAGCTTTTGGCCCTACAAAATCAATATAGTACATTCACTAATACTTTCAATATCCAACAGGGCTTTTTGTTTCCTTCATATCCTTCAGAGTAGATGCGTAAAGGCGGATTTATCTTTGGCCCTTAAAAGTAGATGTAGGTAACTGAGAAGTAAAGAATCTACACAGATGTTAAAACGTGGACTTTTTTCCTTGAAATTAGTGAAACTGTTACACCAGACAGTATCAATGCAATGAAAGTTACCGGTGACTGCTAGGACCATTAAGACAGAGGCAAGATGCGCGGGGATTGAAGGTGTACCACGTAGCTGTGAATGTTCAGCTTCAAGCTCATGTAAAGGAACACACGTATCCATTACAGGCTTGTAGGACTCTGGGTGGGCACCAGAATGCGCTTGCTTATACTTCTGCCTCGAATCGAACATGTAACCAACAACTGGTTATAGCTCTAATGATTCCGGTTCGTTACCGTGATTATTAATTAAGCTTATTTTCCGAATTTTAAAAAAGTCATATATCACTGCATCTTCTCGGGGTTCTTTCTGGTCGTTGATAATAACGCATTCCGCGGAAAATGGGGTGCGTAAATTGAAGTTAAAATCGTGCAAAAGTAAGCTCAAAAACTTATGTTCCAGCAAAATTTTAATTATGTCTTATGTTATCGAAGTCTAAATTCCGAACCATTATCTGTGGATTTATAATACAGAATTGCTGTATTCCTTAAGTTGAGTGGTAGAGAATTGGCGTCCTTACGGCCTCGAATCATAGCCAACGGCTTCTTAAGACGTTCGGCCGTCCTTTAGTAAAGTCAGTTGAGCTGTCCACATATCCTTACAAGCATCCTTCAAAATCCTAAATTTCAATTATTTGACGTCCGAATAATTCAGTGTTATCTTAATTTCTATTGGTTTAAATTAACAGATGACTATTACAATAACTCTTCCTTACTTCTACGCCACTCTGTGAACCCAGATCATCACTGCCCCCCAAATTCATACAAAATATACTTAATGTGGCAAGTAAGTCAACATGAAACAAGGGCAGGTCTCAGTATGGTATGTGTTGTGTTGTCAGATTTTATGTAAAGTTGTAACTACGAAGAGTTCTGCCTCTCTATGTAAAGAAGAATGTTTGTTTGTTTGTTTGTTTGTTCTATATATATTTCCACATCGTTGTACCTATTTAGGCCAGATTTGAAATGATAACAGAGGACTTCTTTGGGGTGGCTTTGGACGTTTGAAAATGTGGATGGGTCGAGTTCAAGATAACGCGTTTAGCAATTATTTCCTCTGTAAGAAAGAAACTGGGATCATGAGAATAGCGGGATGGGAAAAACAATAGAATCGTAACAACAGAGGGAATTTGAAAACAATGAGAACATGAAAAGAATGTGATAGTGATAACAATGAGTTTATAATTGCAATGCTATCGTTAAGACAATAAGATATTGCCAAAGATAGTGTCCTTGCTAGGATACGTGTGTAAATCTTCTGCTGCTGCTAGGATACTGGGAGATACCCATATTCCCTTCTGCCGCTACTAGACTTATTAAGAAATCTAATAGAAATGAGTATCATGAATATTCCTGAGGGTAAAGGGCGGCAGGCGCATAAGGTTGACAACCTCACCGCTCTCTGTGAGCCGATTGTCTAGAAAATGTGGGAGCCTCGACCTCTCACAACCCTATGGGCCTCCACGCCCTGTTACAGGGATAGCTTTACTTTAACCCTTTAATTAATTTTATTATTTTACAGAGGAAAAAAAATATTATCTTACATTTTTCCAAGTGAAGGTGATGCCCCTAGGACGCCGAAGCTTGAAGCTGTCAGTGACGGACTGTCCTAGGAGGACGTCAGGATTTGTGCCGCACACCTGGAGGAGCTTCTCTCCGGCGGCTAGGATGCGCATGTCCTCATTGAAGACGAGGCCGAATGGGAAGAGACGCATGAGGACTGAGCAGGGGACGGCAGGCAGAGTGAGTCTCTCCAGGTGTGTCCTCTTGTCCGTCCGCGACAGGATAAACTCACGATTATCGAAATCTACCCGGAACTTGACAAGGACCTTCCGTGTACCCGGAACAGATGTCACTTCCTCCAGTACTTTGATGGCTAGTTGTGTGTTGTACAGTTCTTCAGCAATCTGGTACAGTTGACCTGAAAATGTGAAAGGAGATGTGATGACTTAGCAAACTTGAAGATCTTCTAACATGAAACATTTTGTGATGAGTGCGATGTTTAGCACTTTCTAGAGAAAATTCTCGAAGGCCCAACATACGTCATTACTTTTGATGTTTTGTTTATTCTATCTACATTTTCATTATGAATTGGACGTCTTTAATTTTGAATGTTCAAGAACGAAACTTTTTTTTTTAATTTTAGTGGTGTGGGACTAAGTCCCTTGTACTGCGGCCATTTCTGGCCTATTGTACCAGCCCCAAATGATAGGTGAGGGTGCTTGTGCAGCAATTGGTGGAATAAAGATTGGCAGGGGAAACCGAAGTACTAGGAGGAAAGCTGCCCCAGCGCCACTTTGTCCACCACAAATCCCACTTGACCAGACACGCGATCGAACGCGGGCCGATGCGGTGGGAAGCCAGTGACTAACCGCAAAATCCCAACATATCAGTGCCACATAAATTTGCTCAGTCTTCTCGGACCATTGTAGTTCAACTCGGCCAGGCGTTAGAGCTCCAGAAATATCAGTTAATAATTAACCTGTTTTATCTGCTCACGCCATTCATGTTGAAGCATACTGGGATATCTTCATAACGCAATGCTAAATTTTCTGAACAGAATCGTTTGTAGGCACACAGGAACCTGACTTCGTGAACGATTCTCGGACGTCAGGTTAAATCGTCCCTGAGGGCTGAAATACACAGGAAATTAACAGAAGTGGGGATATTGCAGAAGCTTTCCGACATAACAGAGAAAATGGGACGGAGCGCTTGGAAATGAGGACAATCCAGGGATATCCACTGTTGCGCATAATGTGTTAGCAAAGAGGTCGGCGTAGGTGGAACAACATTTGGCATCTGTAACAGTAATAAGGGTGCAGTAGGTTAAAATGTCATCCCTTTGCTGAAGATAAAAGGGAATAATGAGATGGAAGAGAAAGTAAGATAAAGGTAAATTTGTTCCTGTGCTTAACTAATTAAGCACTACGCCATGAAGGCGTGTGGGGGAGTCGATGTATAGATCCATATATTCTTGATCTCGGCACTAGGTGTAGGTGAGGGGTCAGCTTCACGCCTCTGCCGCTTTACCCCCAGGGAAAGATCCTCCGATATCCATTGGATAGGAAGTTGGGTGGGCCACAGAGCCTGTCTGGATGACGTGGAGAAAAGAAAATTATTGTCCCTACCGGGACTCGAATTCCGACCCCTCTGTCGTCCAGCCTTTAGCCAGTCGCTATACCGACTACGCTATCCCGGCTCGGTTTTCTTTAACATTCGTTTTAATATTATACTTTTCTCTATACACATGTTTCTCAATTGAGTTTTACACATCGCATTTTACGAATAAAATGTTGTACGGATTTTTCAGTGTTACATTCCCCTTTCATTTCTTCCTCTTAGATTTGACGACCACTATAATATTCGGCGGTCAGTTTACGTTATTTTGTCATATATTCAAGACAAAATCCGTAAGGCTTCTTCGGTTCAGTGATTGTGTTGTAGACAATCCATCCTTCCGTGATGACCACATATACCTATTGATTTCCGTGAGCGATTATGCAATCTGTTATTCTCTGAACATTCTCCGCGTGACTTTCTCTTCCGTGCGAAGTTATTCCTTGTCATGGAAAGAACTACAATATTCCTAAGCTTTGAGACATAACTTGTCAGTACGTAACTCAAAAACACTGACCATAATTTTTATTACATTTCCTTTTTCCATCGTAAAGAGCACCTTTCTCTGCAGCACATCATGACCGCTCAGGAGAGAGCTTATCTTGTGTACACAGGCAGGTGATACAGGGTCGGTGTGCGGGGTATATTGACTGAGGTTTACCTCGATGTTGCTTCGGCCTACAAAGCTGATTCCGGTGTAGTACCACAGAATAGGACACAGTTGGCTGTTGTAGTGACATAATGATTAGTAATTAGTACTCCTGAGGTCCTATGTTCGAATATCGAAGCGGGTGGTTTAATCACTCAACCGTGACGTTTCGCCGCACTGCTAATGCTGACGAGAATTTATGTTGACATTAGTTACTAAACATTGATCTGGCTCAGGATAGGGACCAGTGGAGGGCTCTTGTGAACACCCCAATCAAACTTCAGGTTCCATATATATTGAGTAGCGGCACAACTGGCGGCTTCTCAAGAAGGGCTCAGCTCCATGGAGTTAGTTCTTGACTACACGTAAACGTGGAGCGAAAGGATGAAAATAAACGCACAAAGAGGAGGTCATATCTGCCAGCTTAACTGTTCGTCCGTCCCGCCGTCCACATATTGCATTTCTGAAACTACTTGATATATTTTGATTGTATATCCATTGGGGCCACATTAAAGATTGTCACGTGGATTAAAACTTTGTTCATATGAATCCAATATAGCGCATACTTTATATGAAGCGAAAAATAAATGTATTAATTTTCTTTGAATATACTTCATTGACAAAAATTTGTTCATGATATAAAAATATAGACCTCATTATGCTCTATGAAAATTTCTCACACATTTATTGATATTATGGATGTTAACGTAATACAAAGAAAAAATATTTTTCGAATATATGCAATTTACAAAGTGATTAATTTTGAAATGTTATACTTGTATTTTCATAATTGAATATAAAGGCCATTGCTATAACAAACGTATCAAACATAGCATCTAGAAAGTATGCAGTACTGCCCTCCAAAGTTAGGTCATTAGTTCCAATATGCAGGTTCTACTCAAATATATGTTTTCTGTATATATAAGATACCACACTAGATAATTTCAATTCTGTGAGCTAAATTGGTACGTCATTAAGTGAAACCCTCCACACATCCATAAGAGTTCCATAGCAGGTATTTTAAAGTGTGCGAATATATTCAAGTACATTCCGAGAGCATACATATTTTGGCATATAGTCCCGGTGCTAGGTAATGCCCGCAACATACATTCACTCAGCAATACAGTAACGGTGTTTTCTGTTGGTCCGTGTCTAGGGGTTACAAGCGAGGCAGAGTTTAGTGGGTTAAGTTGGGGCTCGACTAGCGCAGACCTCGAATCTGAGACAGTAAAATTTGGTCACGAGTCCCGCTGGACTCGGACCTGAGAATGACCGCGCTTGCGAGGTCAAGCAGCAATTGTAAACGGCAGACCCATCATCTCGTCAGAGAGGAAGTTATATAAGGACTATAACTGCAAGTGTTCATTTGGAAAATAAAATTACTGGTCGTGAGTCTCTAGGGGCTTGTCTGCAAACCGAAATAATTTGCAGTAAACCGCTAGCCGTGAAGTAGTTCTGACTCCCACTTACTCTAGGATAAGTTGACTAAGCTGCCGATGTAGCATAAGATTCGTAAGATAGGCATGATCTGCTTTGCAAAGCCTGTACTGATAGAGGACTTCTACATAGCGCAAAAGGAAGAATTTTCAATAACATGTCATATCTGCGATATGTACACTTAATGAAAGGCCAAGCATATTCATAAGAGACAAACCAATCTTCTACTCAGAGACGGTATTACATAAGGACTATGATCGCAACTGTTCAGTTCAAAGAAATAAAAGTCTGATCGTGAGTCTCAAGGGGCTTGACGCCAAAACGAACTGATTGGCGGTAAACTGCCAGTCGCGAAGTAAATCTGGCTTTGACTTTGACTTTTGGATATGTGCCAGACTGTAAGGACGTAAGCAGAGGACAGTATTAGGAACCATTATCAGGAGACGACTACAAGAGACATGGAAGACTATGTATGCTGTAGTTATAGTGATCTGCAGAGTGTGTATAACAGCGACGCTGTTACTTTAAGCGTAATCTCGAGTCAGTGGCCAATAAATCGGGTGACCAATCGAAACCCCGTCTATAGTCACTCAATCATGTGACAATATTGTGTATTGCGTAGAATCAATTGTAAGTGACTTTCTGATTAGGGTGTTTCGCGGACGAGTTGAATCTATAACCAATAACCGACATGACGCTGCAAAGAGCCTAATTTCTGTTAAGAGTTACGCAATTCGGATACTGTCTGAGAAATCATATTTTAAATCCCTCCAAGCGAAAACACCTTGAAATATGTCATGGGCATCTCTCCTCGGAGGATGATGATGTATGGATGAAGTAGCTTTCGGGACGGAGTTTGGGTCTAAAAAAGAAAATTTATGTCTTACATAGCCACGAGAAGAATAGATCTAATTTTGTTACGAAATAGTAGTACAAATTAAACAATGATCACATTTTGATAAACAATTAATGATATGTAAGTAACGGGAAACTCTGAATGAATAATTATATTTATCATAGGTTATTTAATGATGTTTACAGTAGCGTTGAGAATGAATATTGATGAATTGATTGAATGCTAGAAGTAGTCTAAGTTTCAGTGCAGATTGGCTTGAACTGAATAGATCTAATTTCACTTCGAGAGAGAATACCATTATTGGAGAGCTAAAAGTGAAGTGCCTGCCAGTAAGAAGACACCATCCACATTGTTAACGGCTCAGAGATGTCCCATAAATCTCCACTCCATAGTGTGAGAGTAAACTTAAACCACGATAAATATCTCTTGCTAGTTAACTTACAAAATATAAATATCACCGTATAGTTTGGTGTAGGGGCGACGATCGAACGTTATATTTGCAAAGTACCCGGTTCGTTTTACGGTCAGGTTACCTGCAGTACTTGCTTTGATTTCTGGCGGATTTCTTCACTTCGTCTAGGTTAATCTCAGTACAACAGCGCCCCCTAAAATTCCTGCCCATCTTCCCATATAATTCGGTGCTGTATAACCAAAATAGTTGATAAGTAATGTTGGTAAATAACATACGAGTAGGAAAGAATTTGAAAGGTGGCGGTTGTCGCTTGTTTCGAGGTACTATCTCAGCATCTGAATCAGTATCTGAGGAAATTCAGGAAAATAATTTAAAACGTTGGACAGTACAGCATGCAGCCCAACCGAAATTGAAACTGAATACTTTGCACACAAACTTACTATTACACGA